GCGAGAGAGGCATAATTAACATTTGATTTCAGAAGTCAAATTGGGGGGAACATTGGATGGTGTCAGAAATTTAGCTCTGCAACAAGTCACCTATGAAGCCTTGGAAATACTTGCAAGGGTTCTTTAAAGTTCAGAGAGCGTGGTCTATCCTTACTTTCAGAATCAATTCCTTGCCGCGATATAGCGTTTTTGAGCTGATGCGGCGTAAAAGAATAATCAATCAATCAAACAATCAAACAATCAGAATCAATTGGACTCCCCGCATGGATTTTACTATACCAGAGGACCATACTATAATTAAGCAAAAACTATAACTTTGTCATTAAGCAAAAGAAAAAACAGAAGAAAAAAAAGAAAAACCTGATTAGACATAGAGGCTCTAAGGCGTCGGTGTCACCCAAATAACATCTATATATAATATGACTTACGTTCCTGTAGGTGCCAAAAAGAGCATTTGGCTTTTGTCAGCTGATTTTTAACTAGAGGCTCTCAAGAGCCTGTGTCGCTCACCTGTATTTACTGATGCTTTGGAATTCATGTAAAATAAGGTTAAAATCATAATTAATAGTATTAGATATTAGATATTATAATGATATATAAGATAATAACAAAAAACTGCAAAATTTCTGTAAAATTACTAACTCAGGGGCAGCAACCCAACAACGGGTTGTCGGATTCGTCTGAAAATTTCAGGGCAGATAAATCTAAATCTGATGAACATTTTTGCCGCCTGTCAGATTTGCTCTAAATGCTTTAGTTTCAGAGATATAATCCAATAAAATGCTCCGCTGGGGCGCAGCTTGATACGACCGCAGAGGTCGAACCCTGAACAGTTGGGGCAAGTATGGACACAACATTCAAGCTTGATACAGCACTGAATTTGGATTGTAATTAAATATTTGACACAGCATAGGTTTCTCACACAGAATGAATGTGGTCTAAGAACTTAAATTTTTTTAATTTACCTATTCAAACCATATCATTATTATTTGCTTTTACATATAAATCAGAAATAACCAATTCAAAATGGAAAATTTTAAAGAAAAAAAAATCCCCTCCAATTTTTTGAACCCCCTTATGATTCATCACCCCCAAACTCAATCCCAGCTTTCCCTTTGTGGTATGGTACCTTGCAGTACAATTTCAGAGAGATCCATACACTTGAACACAAGTTATTGTCTGGAACCTAGAAAAATGCTTGTTTTTGGCCCCTTTTTGGCCCCAAATTCCTAAATGTTTAGGGCAATTACCCCCAACTCAAACCCAGCTTTCCCTTTGTGATATGGAACCTTGCAGTACAATTTCATAAAGATCCATACACTTACACACAAGTTATTGTCATGAAACTAGAAAAATGCTTGTTTTTTGCCGCTTTTTGGCCCCTAATTCCTAAAATTTGGAGGCAATTACCCCCAAAATCAATCCCAGCATTCCCTTTGTGATATGGAACCTTGTAGTACAATTTCATAAAGATCCATACACTTACACACAAGTTATTGTCATGAAACTAGAAAAATGCTTGTTTTTTGCCCCTTTTTGGCCCCTAATTCCTAAAATTTGGAGGCAATTACCCCCAAAATCAATCCCAGCATTCCCTTTGTGATATGGAACCTTGTGATACAATGTCAGAGAGATCCATACACTTACACACAAGTTATTGTCATGAAACTAGAAAAATGCTTGTTTTTTGCCCCTTTTTGGCCCCTAATTCCTAAAATTTGGAGGCAATTACCCCCAAAATCAATCCCAGCATTCCCTTTGTGATATGGAACCTTGTGGTACAATGTCAGAGAGATCTTTACACTTACACACAAGTTATGTCTGGAAGTTACAAAAATGCTTATTTTTGGCCCCTAATTCCTTAACTGTGGGGAACCATAACCCCCAAAATCAATCCCCACCTTCCTTTTGTGGTATTGAACCGTATGGTAAAATTTCATTGAGATCCATTCACTTAAACTAAAGTTAGAGTGCGAAAACTAATGTGTCTTCGGACGCCGACGCCGGACGACAACGAGGACGCCAACATCATACCAATATACGACCACAAAAATTTTTTTGCGGTCGTATAAAAACTGCATTTTACCCCCATGTTCTATTTTTAACCAAGTCGGCCATGATGGTTGGAAGGCGGGGTCATCGGACAAATTTTTTAAACTACATACCCTAATAATGATTATGGCCAAGTATGGTTAAATTTGTCTGAGTAGTTTCAGAGAAGATTTTTGTAGAAGATTACAAAAATTTACGAAAAATTGTTAAAAATTGACTATAAAGGGCAATAACTCCTAAAGGGGTCGACTGACAATTTTGGTCATGACGACTTATTTGTAGAACTTACTTTGCTGAACATTATTGCTGTTTACAGTTTATCTCTATCTATAATAATATTCAAGATAATAACCAACTAGAGGCTCTCAAGAGCCTGTGTCGCTCACCTGTATTTACTGATGCTTTGGAAATCATGTAAAATAAGGTTAAAATCATAATTAATAGTATTAGATATTAGATATTATAATGATATCTAAGATAATAACAAAAAACTGCAAAATTTTTGTAAAATTACTAACTCAGGGGCAGCAACCCAACAACGGGTTGTCGGATTCGTCTGAAAATTTCAGGGCAGATAAATCTAAATCTGATGAACATTTTTGCCACCTGTCAGGTTTGCTCTAAATGCTTTAGTTTCAGAGATATAAACCAAAAACTGCATTTTACCCCTATGCTCTATTTTTAACCAAGTTGGCCATGATGGTTGGAAGGCGGGGTCATCAGACAAATTTTTTAAACTAGATACCCTAATAATGATTATAACCAAATTTGTCTCAGTAGTTTCAGAGAAGAAGATTTTTGTAAAAGATAACAAAAATTTACGAAAAATTGTTAAAAATTGACTATTAAGGGCAATAACTCCTAAAGGGGTCGACTGACAATTTTGGTCATGACAACTTATTTGTAGATCTTACTTTGCTGAACATTAATGCTGTTTACAGTTTATCTCTATCTATAATAATATTCAAGATAATAACCAAAAACTGCAAAATTTCCTTAAAATTACCAATTCAGGGGCAGCAACCCAACAACAGGTTGTCAGATTTGTCTGAAAATTTCAGGGCAGATAGATCTTGACCTGATAATCAGTTTACCCTATGTCAGATTTACTCTAAATGCTTTGGTTTCAGAGATACAAGCCAAAATCTACATTTTACCCCTATGTTCTATTTTTAGCCATGGCGGCCATCTTGGTTGGTTGGCGGGGTCATCGGACACATTTTTTAAACTAGATACCCTAATGATGATTGTGGCCAAGTTTGGTTAAATTTGGCCCAGTGGTTTCAGAGGAGAAGATTTTTGTAAAAAGCTAACAACAACGGACGACGACGACGACAGACGACGGACGACAGACGCCAAGTGATGAGAAAAGCTCACTTGGCCCTTCGGGCCAGGTGAGCTAAAAACTGCAAAATTTCCTTAAAATTACCAATTCAGGGGCAGCAACCCAACAACAGGTTGTCAGATTTGTCTGAAATTTCACGGCAGATAGATCTTGACCTGATAATCAGTTTTACCCTATGTCAGATTTACTCTTAATGCTTTGGTTTCAGAGATATAAGCCAAAATCTACATTTTACCCCTATGTTCTATTTTTAGCCATGGCGGCCATCTTGGTTAGTTGGCGGGGGTCATCGGACACATTTATAAACTAGATACCCTAATGATGATTGTGGCCAAGTTTGGTTAAATTTGGCCCAGTGGTTTCAGAGGAGAAGATTTTTGTAAAAATTAACGACGACGGACGACGATGACGGACGACGGACGCCAAGTGATGAGAAAAGCTCACTTGGCCCTTTGGGCCAGGTGAGCTAAAAATGCAGAACACCTCCTTTGAAACTTTATTCAACAGAACGTGACCATATTTGTTTGTCCTTACCATGGCAGTTCATCTTTGTGTATTCATCGAAAAAATATTTAAATCCATTATAAGTCCTCATCGGATGATGATGATGATGATGATGATGAATTGGTGTTACCATTGAGTAACAATTATTACATGCAAAGAGATCATGTTGATGTGATACAAATATGAACCCTGCTTTACTACAGACAGACACAGTGTGAGTCAGACTTTTTGATATGCTAGTTCACAAGGTAACAGTTTGCAGGAAAACATGTCATTATACCCAGACATATTATTCAGATTCTGAGCTAACAAGTCTGCACTTACTCCTTAATTTTTTGTGCTTAGTGGAGAAACAGCACCAATTTTGAAGTCTTTGGATTTATTTAGCATGGAATAGCACTCATGACCTCATGTACTCAGGGTGAGCAAGTTAACTCGAGACCATTGAATTTGTTTCTGTCAATAGACTATTGGATCTTAGTCAAGCAACACATACAACTAACTTAAAGAATGGTGTCTCAAAAATTTCAGAGATCTTCAGATCTTGTAACCTCAATACATATAAGATCATCAAAATGTAATTTTAAAGGTCTATATTGGCAAAGTGGTGCTAGAGATGTGTGGAAACTGACACGGGGGAGGGGGAGTATAGGAAGTGACATTGAAACCTTTTTTACAATAATAATTTACTTACTGTCTGAAAAAATTTGCAATTACCCCTTAGTACCCCAATACAATATGTCAAATAATGACAACTTGAAGAAATTATACTAAGCAATGTTGACCTTGTGTGGATTTGGCTATTCTTTTTAGTTCTCTTTGGTCATATAGCTCCTCAAATATTTAAGTATTCATACGCCTTCAACTATCAAATTTTTGGGTTTGACCATTCCAGATAAAAGTAAATCCAGATATTGGATAGTTTTACTTTTATTAAGGACATTATTATTTTTTGATTTACATACAAATTCAGTACAATAACTGGTATTTTTCCATATTATTTTCAGCAGCAATGAAAATTGAATCTATGCATATATGTACTTTCACACTCTTGGTTACAGAACTGAAAGATCAGTAACAAAAAAACAACAATAGGTACTTTCTTTAAAACATGTTTATTCAAAAACAAATATACTTTTGCTGTGAAGTAAGAACTGTATAACTGTAGTAAATATGGACTAGTATTACAACTGAAAGTGTACAACTGTTAACAAATTTTCTTGCATGTGGTCAATTCTATATATCAAGAATTGTATTTAAAAAGGTCAATCCTTACTGTCATAAAATTTTGGAGTAAGGTTAACGTACTTAGATCCAGAAATCAACCAATCAAAATACTTGATGTTTCCAAGACAAATATTGAGTAAAGTTGAATGACTTATAGGCCAGCGGCTCTTTTCACATAAAATCTTAAGAGTAAAAGTACTTGTAAGTCATACACATTTCAGTATAACTTATGATCAATTTCAATCCTAAGATTTTTTGTGAAAAGAGTCGCTGGCCTTGAAACTAAAATTACTCAGGTGGAAGGAACTCTTGTAAATATAAGGTAAAATCACCTGAATTTAGCTAGTCCACCAGAGCATTATCAATTTTAATACCGTAAATTGTTGCAATAGCTCAACATAAAATTCAAATTGAAACTGATCAATTGCAAGAATTAGTTAATGTACATATTGCTTCTGTTGTAATAGGCCAGTTTAATTTAAGAATCCAGCAGAATATGAAATACACACTGAAATAACCATTCTAATAAATATGATTTATCATTAATAGTAAAACTATAGATTACCTTTGTAAAAAATTAGTCCAACAGAAAAGAACATTTTTCTTGCACCAATTAAAAAAATTCTGGAGAAAACACAGCATTTCAAGACCTCAGATTAGTTTGGTTCACTTATTTGCTGGGTTGTTATCGCTTTAACATTTACCCCCATGTCTGATTTCCTTAAGTTTTTTACAATTATATATGTAAGCATGTTTATAAATAAAAGATAATGTGGGGTATATGGTATACAGTATGTCAAATACAGCAACTAAATGACACAAAATAACCAAGTCATCTACAGGTCAACATATGGTCTTCGAAAAATAGAAAGTGTTAAGACCATGTGACAATTTATTCAACCTTATAAAACCGGAAATAATTTAATTCAAAACCATCAAAGATCTGTCATTAATACTGCTCTCTCCAATTAACAAACAAAAATTAAGATATGACATAAGATAACCACTGATGACATTCTTGACTTTTGACAGGCACATGAATATGTTGGTTAAAATTAGTATTTTGGATCACGATCTACTGAAAAGGCCAAGTAAATGAACAAAACTTGAATGACTGTAATAAAAATTAATTTGAATCCAAATTTGAACGATATCATTTGTCGCTTTGTTGGAAATCAGAACATTGAGTATGAAAAGATATATATGAATATTTATTGTAAATGTTCTAATTTTGTGATAAGCCACAGAAATGATTTTTTTCTGAAAAACTACAAAGAAACAAATTTCGCAAGGGGAGATAATATTTTGAAATAAATCCTATAATGTATATATTACCAGATAAGTAATAAACATTTAACCCATGTTTCACAACAACTTATGAACTTTACAACTCTAGTGTGCATGCTTTACTTTTGCTGGATTCTTAAACAACTGTAATCAACTTTATTATTGGTTAATTATTGCATAAAAAAATATTGGTATTTGAAAAATACATACATCTATTCTTTAATGGAAATACAATTTTTTTAGATTTGCAAGAGATATTAGCCAGAAACAAAAACATAACCCTGTAATATTCTAATGTCAATTAAGAGGTCTTCCTCAATTTTCACGGGACTACTTTAAGCAAAATTATCAACTGTCAATGGACGACAAAATATGAAACATTTTTTGATGCATGATATATCTATAGGCTTCTAATTTAAAACATGTAAATAAAAATGTTAGCACAAAAATATGAATCATGCCAGTCCCTTGACACAAAGGACACACACTTCATGTAAGTTTTTCAACCTTAAATCCCGGAAAGCACTATCATTAACTTAAATTAATCACTACTATAATTGTTCTTTTCCTGATTTAATGATAATGTTTATTTCAGGATCTGGAATCAATAATTAAAAATAAGAGGAGAAATTTTGAGACTTATTGGATGATTGTTTGAAAAAATAGACCAACAATTTTGTTTGAGCAAACTTATCATTTTGCACTTCTGAAAAGTGACTTGCAGACTTGTACCAAAATTCTTAAAGGGTTCAACACATTGTGATAACTGGAGAGCTATAAATAGTATGTGTAGAAATCTGGCATTTACATTTTACTCAAAAAAATTATCAAAGATGCCAGGCTGCACACTGGAGATTAGTTATTATTCTAGTACATGTATGCTGTATAATTTTCTTCAGCTCTTCCATTTTTCCGTGAAAATAAAAAAAGAAAGTTACTTCCGCCTTCAGCTGTTAGCTTTATCCATTATTCAGGGCAGATACCATAAATAAGGAGATAAAACCAGTTGAATTTTTCTTTTAAAATTATAAAAATATGACAGAGCAAACAGAAATGAGAGATTTCCCAGAATTTTCAAATTTTCAATTTAACAGAGGATATTTAGAGATCGAATGTTAATTAGATTGATCCGTTTTGTATTGATATGCATTGAAATATTGATACAAAGTGGGTGCAGACAACCTTCATCATAGTAACTAGTATGAGTAGTATATAAACATTTTGTAGTAACAGAAGTCAATGACTAAAAAAAGTATTAAACTGGATTACAACCTTTACATGTTATGTGACAATATTTGTAATAGTGGCAAGTGAAACTTCTAAAATATATATCTTCAGTAACATAAATCCTTAACATTTTTTTAAAACATTCTGGATAATAAAACAAATTATATGCATTCATTTAATAAAAATTTTATGTCAGAATTTCAATTTCCAATGATTAAAAGAAGACTTTTCCAGGAATTTAAATTCACAGATTAATATTAAAAGGAAATTAAAAATAATCAAAATTCTAGGCTTGACACTTTCAACTAGAAATGATGCTGAAACCTTTTTTCAGCAATTTAAAATAAATGGTAAACACATAGGGTTATGTGGTACAATCATGCACTGATATAGGATATATGTGCTTGGTGCAAGAATCACTGCTGATTTGCTAATTTGTATTTTAATCCTGTTAAATGTTGAGAATAAATGTTAATTATATATTAGAAATATTGTGTCACAATACAGTTACGGATGGAATTTGATTTTAAATATAACTCATATCAGATTGACTTCGGTGTATTAAATTGACAATTAATCAAAAGTGAAAATCATTACGTAATTATTCATGCGCATAAATTACAGCATTAACATACTAAAGAAACCTCTATTTTTGTGGATTTCAAAATGTGGTTTATTTTCTAAAATGATTTTGTGGGGGTTTAAAATATTTGTGGTTTCAAGTTGGAGAAAATAACGTTCTTTAAAGAAATTTTTTCTTTACGATTCTTATTTCATGAATAATATCTATCCACAGAATAAACGAAATTAAAACCCCAATGAAAATTTGCACTTTTACACTCACTAAAATTACAGTATTTATATCATAATGTAATCAATAACACAATGACACACAACTACATTTATCTCTTAGTACATGTACCATAAAAATAATGAATAAGTTTTCAATAACTACATGTATGTATGTGTTGTCCAAATTCTCAGCTAAGGTACTTAATAGTATCACAGTTTATCCTATAAGTTATAATGTTATTTTTTGTTTTAATTTTGCATTTTGCTGAGACCCCCCAAAAAATATTGTATACCATGAAAAAATGCACTTGGATTCTACCTCATTTGACATATCAACAAAAGTTACATCAAGAATATTTATTAACTGGTGAACTAAGCTGAAATATGTCTTTTATCAACAAATTGGCAATTAAAATGAAAGAGAGGATAAAAGTGTTTGTGAACATACTTTCATTTTTTAAGTCTATTTCCTATACTTATATTGACAAGCAAATACCAATGGTTATTATTCTAATGGATTTTACTGGTACATTATTTATAACAGTATTTAAATATAAATTTCAAATTTACTTGAAAAATGCAAAATCTTTAAAATATGATTAAATGTGTATCTTTTTATGGAATTGCTGGTTTAAAATTCAGAACATGGAGACTGTACTCAATGACATATGAGCCCCAGAAAAAAAAAATCTAACAAATATGCATTTTACAACCTATAAAACTTGCATGCACAATTTGGATCATGATTTAGAATATAATGAAATACAGTGAAAACTGTCTATACATGTACCAAAATCTTTTAGAAATTGAAGATCCTGTTCTTTCAACAGACGTTTAGAATATACAGGTTAGTATAATACAGACAGCTTTGACAGATTTCCTGTTTACAGAGATTTAGTATGGATATATTTTACTGTATATTGGCTATTTAAACGGGAAAAAAAAGCATTTTCTTCAAATGGCTTAATTTCATAAGGAGAGTAGAGAAATCAATTAACATGTATGATAAATATGAGAAAAATCTAAAATGTTTTATACTAAAACTTGTGTGGATTTTGCTTTTCTCACCCATCAACTTATGTTTTAATCACTTATTTTGTTTCAATTTTGCATAAAATTGCTTAATTGCTTATATCAAAGAATTCTACTTTCAAGTTATTTGATAAAACAAATGAAATGGCACATTCACTCACAGGGTGGACAAAGTGGACAGGTTAGATATATTGCCCGCTCCCAAAGTTGGAGTGGTTGAAGCTAAATTCACTAAAGCTGCATGGTAACAAACAAATAGTGAAAGAAACACAACAGGAACATTTTAATGTTTACAGCCACAATTTAAAATGAATAAGTCAACAAGGAATAATTCTTACACTTATCCAGCCAATTTTGAAATTTTTAGATGAGTTACAAATGTAGGTACAGATACCTCTGTTGAAATTTTTGGCCTGAAAACCTTATACCAGAACAACAAAATAAATTTTAATTTTTTTTCTTAATAAAAAGGGATAATAAGACAATTTTTGAGTAGAGGGTAGGACCTTAGGCTTTGATTTCTTTCCTTCTATTTACCTTAACAGTGACACAATATGACTTCAAAATCCATGACACATGTCTTCTGTGAACTTATCCTTATGAATTAACATTTGAATGTCCCTATGGTATCTTTCACCTCTCTTTTGTGATCTCACAATACAACTTTCCCAAGGGAGGTAATTCAAATTATATCCTTTTGCTTCAGTCTGGGTCACTAGCTAGGTATTTTTAAAGATAATATTTACTAGTATTTCAAAACCTTTTCTACATACAATCCAAATTATCAGACAAGTAGGTAGCATGTGCTAACATTTTTACATCCCAAACTAAGTCTTAATCTCTTTACAAAAAAGGAAGTTGGTAAATTGATTCTTTCCATGAACTACCAAAAACGGCCATTTTTTTATTAAAAAAAATTACATGAAACCTTTTAAATCTAGCATTCTACCCATGCAACGTATCCTATATTTTCTTGCATCTGATTTAATAGGGATTATGTGCCCCCTTCACTTTCTTAAGCAAGTTCAAAAGTGCAAAGAAATGAGAGCTTCAACAGTTAATCATAAAATGCCTACGTAATATTGTGCTTTGTAAGAACATAAAATATTGCATAGCGTTAAAAACAAAATTAGGTGTCCATAGGACACAATCATGTCATACCACGCTCACACCATTACGTTTCCATCTTAGTGAACTGCAAAATCTTATTATTTGAAATAGTTCACATCATAATGAACATGAACGTGTTCTAAGTTTAATGTTGATTTGACTACCACTTTCATGATAAACTACCTTTAACATTGTTAAACCAAAACTTTAAAGGATGGATATAGAGTGAAAAACACAATGCTAGCTGGGACATAAACATTATCATAATTCACTGTTTGTCAGTGTTAGAAATGAATTTAAAAAAAAAACAAAAAAACACAAAAAGGGCACATAATCCTTAAATTATTTAGACTGTTATTAAAAGGGGGACTTAAAAAAAATAAAATTGTTTGCTTTCAAAATTAGTGGAACTGTGCATGCTTCTTTCGTTTAAAATTACCTTTGTTTTACTTATATCTTGTCATTACAATTTTTATTTCAACAGTTAATAGATAAACAGTGAGAAAGAGAAAAAAAGTATGAAACAAACATAAAAATGGTCTTTGTGATAACCGTTTCATTTTGCAGAACTTGTTTCTGTGTAAATATACTATCAACATTAACCTTGTTGATTCAAAATGCATTAAACAGAAAATATAACAATTTACATGAAAATTTAGGTCAACTATTTTTTTATGGATTCTCACGTATGGGTTAAAATCTCAGAAACAAATTAGAACAATGATTAAGATGTTATGATTGACCAATACTTTTGCACTTAATAATTAATTAAAAAAATTCAAAAAAATGCTTCATAAATACAGTAATAATGTACCGTCAGAATTCTGACGGCATAATGAATGGTTTGACTAAATACAACTTTTCATTTTCCTGTTTAAAGATCGGATGTTTCTTGTAATGCTCTATTAACTGGTCAAGTGACGAGAATTTTTGTTGACCTATCTGGTACTGTTCATCGTTCACATTAACACGAAAATGCTTGTTCCTTTCTGCAGCTTTTAAAACGACGGTAAAGTTTCCACTCTGAAAAAAAGAGAGACAATAAAGATTTAGAAACTCCCACAAGTAAATTATCTTGCATATTTCATGTTGTTAACTAGCTATTTCAGTATTAGTCGTAAGGTCTTTTAGGAGCATTTAGATTACTGTCTTGTGTGTGAAATAAAATGGCAATGAAATTTAATATTCCTTCTGTAATGTTTATGACATAAGTTTGTTGATCATTCAATTGAGTGTGAAGTGGTTCTGCTTTAAGTATATTCAATGATAAAATATCTGCCATCTGATAGATACTCTGAAATGTATTCTTAGTCCATATTTTTTATTCTAAATATGGAAATGATATCCTCATGGTTTTAATATTATTTGTTATCATATTAATTTTTTTTCTTTTACTGTATTTTGTTTAATTTCTGTTTTACTGCATTTTGTTTAATTTTTGTTTTATGGTGTTTTGTTGATATGTTTGAAACTTTGTGAACAAACTAAACACTTAAGAAAATTTATGTTCTCATTCATATTTAAATTCGGTGGTATGAGGCAACCCTAAATATTGGATTCCTCATGAAGACAGACACATTCAAAACTAAAACAAATACTAACAGCAGATTCACTATCACGTATAATGAAATCTCCTTCCTGAGCAAACTTTTTCAAAAGTTCCTCACATTCTTGTCGTGTTATTTTGCCATAATACCAGTCTTTATCTGCAAGTGGACCAGAAACACGAAACTGTTTTCTACTTCCTGGACCAACAACTGAGAGATTAGAAGTGTTCGATAAACTACTAGTTGATTGGGACTGTGGTGTTGAAGAACTGTGGCTATTGGCAGTTTCACAGTCTTCTAAAACCTGAACATAATTTTGTGGGACCAGCCCAACTATTCCACGTTCATTCTGAGCACGCCACCAATCAGGGTCCTCTGACGGTTTGTCCAAAATCACAAGTCGCTCTCCCTTTTCAAACGTGAGTTCCTCTGATTGTGTACCAGTAAATGCATAAAGGGCAACAACAGTCTCTTGCTCCTGAATTCGAGGTTCCAACATTGCAGCTGTTGAATACTCCACGGGACAACTATTTTCATTTTGTTCAATAATGTCTACATAATTTGAAGGAAACCATCCTGTACTATTATCCTTCTTACGACCCTTCCACCACCCATCAATTGACTTTTCTAACACTGTCACTTGTTCAGCTTTGGTCAATCCTAATTCATCAGGCCTCTGAGGAGTATAATTGAATTTGACAATGGAAGGCTGAGGATCACAAATCTGAACGTCACTACTCGTACTATTTTGATCACTTCCTGTATCTCCGTTGCGGCTCACCACAGGACTATGTGAAGTCAATTTTGTATCACTTTTATTTCTTCTTCCAAGAGTTGCTCTGAGGCTAGAGAAAATCTTCGAAGGTTTCGACTTTTTAACATAATTTGAGGGAACAAATCCTGATTTGTGACGATTGTTTTGCACCTTCCACCATTCCCTAGTGTCATCCAACAAAACCAGCTTTTCATGTTTCTTTATATCTAATTCCTGTGCATTTTCAGCCTTGTAGTCATATTTTGCAACAACGACTTGCTGACCTTCTTCATTCATAGTTGCTGCTGGCATCCGGATGTTGTGTTTCACATCACTGAAATGATAAATATGCATTTTAATTTCTATTAGATATTTTACCTTCAGTAATGCTACAGTTGTGAAATATTGAGTGGAAATAGGCATTTTGCAACACTAAATTTACGGCAGGTTTATATTTTGTCTTTTAAAGTGTTGTTCGTTGTTTTGATTGGTGTAGCAGATTGTAAGTTTTCCTTTTTTTTTAACTGATCTTAACTCTTTTTTTAGATCTATATAAGACGGTGGATTTGCCTACTAGTATATTATCACCAGTGGAATAACAAAAAATATTTCTCGTGAAAATGCACATACATGTATTGAATATATTATGTATATTTAGTTAAAAATTTGATTGTCTGCAATATTAGTTTCTAAATTACATTTAATAACAAAATAAATATCTATTAAACATGTTAAATGCACTATTAAAGCAAAAAACTGTGATAGCTTCACTCTGGGGGTGGCATAATTACTATCTATAAAGATATAAGTATGTATAATAAGATATATATATACAAGGATTTTGACCTAAATTCCATACAACAACATTTTATGGGAAATATCAATATTAATACACTATTATCTGGTATAAAACTGTAATGCTTAAAGTACAAGATTTTCAGACTTCTCTGTTAAATACGAAAGAGATATTAGGAGATTTTATATGAGTTACCATCATTTTTTAATCTTTTGACTATTGATTTTTACTCAAGTAGAATTTCAGTGTCTTCTCTTTCTCGTTTTATTAAAAAATTTGGATATGTTAAATTCATGAAAAAATAAATGTAAAATGGTAGCATTATGTGACTGCAAGAAAAAAGGAAATTTACAGAGAAATTTAGAGAATGAAATCCTGCAAATATAAAATCAACTGCATCTAAGCAAGACAAAAGGGTGTAAATATCTTTACACACCATTAACAGTGAGTTAAAACTCCTTTCTTGAAAACAAATAATGAACTACAATGTATAAGATGTTGGTTTTGCTTATTGTTGAAGGCCGTATGTTGACCTATAATTACTATTACATCATTTGGTCTTTGGTAGAGAGTTGTCTCATTGGAAATCATACCACATCTTCTTATTTTCATATTAAGGTTAATAACCAGTTAATATATAGCATACAGCTAATGAAAAAATCTCCTCTTTAATATGAATCGATAGAATTTCTTTACAACTACAAGTCCCTTTTCTGTTGACTTCTTTTCTAACCACAAAACAGTTCCATATTACTGATTGCAGGTGTCAGAATAAAGGAAAACTCTTGGTTATAGCAGTAATTTTGTTAAAGGGGTTATAAAGGACGAAAAAGATTAGGTACATTATGATAAAGGAAGATAAAGTCTAATGGACTAATAATGAATCTGAGTAAGCTGGACTTGACATGTTCCATACTGGCACTACAATGTACCAGTAAATAAAAATTTCTGACCTTGTAGCTAAATTTTCTGGATAAAGCTAGGTGTAGTACTATGCTACTAATAAATGATTAAATCTCCATGAGAACCGGCACCATTTAATTACTGTTGCAATTAGTTTCCATTCCCCATGAAATTGTTATGATGAATAGATGTCCACTGAACGTTCATTCACTGACATTTAATAAATTGCAGCATAAAAAAGATGGAGACTTTCAGACAAAAATAAATGTACACATATGCACACAAGATTTTATCTTTTTTTCTGTTTTCTACTTAACCACACATTTTTTCTTCAATTACCAACTATCAGGTGGTTGAATTTGAAGCTTTAATCATTTGCACTATTTCTCTCCAAGATTACACAGTGATGCATAGTACAGAAAACAGGAAATGAAACAAGTTTTTATCTGTTTTTATCCCTGATTGAAATTCCAGCATATCACTGATAAGAAATTTGTCTGTGTAATCAAATACTGTTACTACTCGAGTCCTGCTGTGATCAAATATTCTATTAAAAACAACTAATGTTATGATGGGTTAGAATTCTTCAAACAAAGATGTATTTTTATAATATGTTATGAAAAAAAATATATGCCTTTAAAATACTGCATTTATTTTTTATTGGTTTACAAATAGCATCGCCACACTACTTGCACAAAAGTCTGCAAGATAATGATAGTGCTGAGTGCTACATGTATATAAAACACTGATAATTCCAAACATACCTGGATATTGCTAAGACCTTTTTTAAAGACCAGTAAAAATAAGATAACGATACTGGTCAAGCCCAGTCAAAAATCTGAAGACTTGCAATCCATGTAAAATTGTTTGACCATTTCTTTATTTTAATTTTTCCCTTCTAGTTGACAGGAAACTGTCTGATGTTTGAACTTATTTGGTGATTACATGTACATGTCTCAAATGTGTTACATGAACATGTATATTGCAAAATAATATCTAAAATTGAACAAGACCTGCTCATTTCTTCACTAAAGGTTAGACATTTTCCTTGAGGCTCTATTTCAAATAAAACCAAAGACAAGATACATTCTAAGAAAATTTCAAATTAAAGCATTAAAATCTTTTTTTATATGTTAAGCTGAGAAAAATTATTAAATTTTTTTAAGCCAAATTTCCATGATTTGTATATAGAATAATTTTTTAAGAACCAACTTTTCATGTCCTTCCAGTCCATATAAAGAGCATCAAATTGTAAAGTTGTTGCTTGTAACATGATGTTTTAGTGCTTTCAATAACCTCAAGACGAAGAAAAGCAATAATAGTGCTATTTTATATGCATAATAACTTTCCCACTTACTTAAACTTTAAATATTGTTAAGGTATAATATGAATGATGCCAATACTAAATGAATTCATAATTTTTACCTATTTTGAAAATTGTGTATTTCATAACAGTTTCTTATTTGATTTTTCTTATATGTGTGTGTTAGTTTGATTATTTGGTAAATTGTTTGTTTGTTATATTTCATTGCATTTCATGAGGGCCTCAGGGATTGATTGATTGATTGTTGGTTGCTTAACGTCCAGTGTGGGCCTCAGGGAAGATTAGTGTTATAGCTAACTGTGTAACCCTCTTTAAATAAAGAATTATTATTATTATTATTATTCCCATGATAAAGTAGTTACATACTAGCATTTAATAAGATGCTTTTAATGACTACCGGTACCTATCTCAGTTTTCAATATGATGTGTGTACTTTTTAAATTTTGTACAAAATACAAAAACGTTTTTATGTTTCATTTTAGACCAGGTTACATGTCTAGTACATTGTAGCTAAAATTCATATATATTATTATATATATTTATGTTGATGATGGATGGCTGCTTAACGTCCAGCATCAAATTAATATGCATATTCATGATGAGCACATGTTTATGTAATATGAATATTAACCTGGTTTTGTACTAGACCGACACGCTGAGCAGATTTTTAACGTGCTAGTTCACATGTACAAGGTAACAGCCGGCAGGAAGACACATCACCTTACCCAGACACATTCTGACTCTGAGCCCACCAGTCTTTGCTCTTACTCCTTATTAATGCTGTGTGCTTAGCTGAGAAGCAGCAAATACCAATTTTAGTCTTTGGTATGTCCCTGCCAGGGTTCGAACCCACTACCTCCCGCACTTAAGGCGAACAGGCTACCACGAGACTGTCAGACCATCGAGGCATATACATATATATATATAAAATGGTATAGTTATATTGAATTAAGATTGACTGATTGATGTTTGCCTAATGTCCAGTGGCAAATATTCAGAACGAAAAAACAAATTAACAATACCATAGGTACATGTACATATATAAAAATAAGGAGATGTTGTATGATCACCAATGAGACAACTATCCACCAAAGTTCAAATGAAGCTATGTAAACAATTACATATACATGTATGTTCTACATAGTAGGTTGAACCTATGATGTAAAAGTGTTAAATTCTTAGACAATCACAGACTTTAGTCCCAGAAATTGCCAAAACAGAAAAACCAAATATCACATTTCCCATTAGAGATTTTTAACAATAACAAATTTGACTATAAATGACTTGATCACTTGTTTATTTGTGAAACAGCAGTAAATATTGAAGGAGCAGTTTTTTCCACCTAACCTTGAATAGTAGACAAATTTGGGTTTACATTTCAGAAACTGCAATTCTTTCCATAATCAAGAATGACTAACTTAAGTGTCACTGTGTGGATGAAAAAGAAAAAAAAACATGTATATATTTCTGATATAAATCATTTTAGGATTTGGTTGACGTTATGCTGTTTCACAGATGACAACGGATATGTTCCAATTGTTGTAACTACAATCCTGTCCCTTTTCCACGAATGTGACCTACCAAATTACATTTCTCACGGGTTTGTACTTACATGAGCAAAATGACAGGTGCAACATGTGGAGAAGGATCTGCTTACCCTTTCAGAGCACCTGAGATCACCCCCACTTTTTGATGGGGTTTGTGTTGCTCAGTCTTTAGTTTTCTATGTTGTGTTTTGTGTACTGTTGTCTGTTGGTTTTTTTTCTTTTAGCGAAGGCGTTGTTTTTCAACTTCTGAGTTTGAATGTCCCTTTGGTACCTTTCACTTCTCTTTTATAATGATTTCAAGTAAAAATATGTTTTAAATGAATTCATCAGAGAATCCCTCCTTTCTAGTTTACATTAGTATCATTTAACTATATGTTAAACATTGCAAATTTTGATGGTTTGATGACTTTGTTAGGAAGCCCTGACTTTAAGTTACTGAGAAAAAAATCATGGGACAAAAGGAGGTAAACCAGAAGAAAAAGGAAGAAGGGTATACATTTTTGTAACAATCAAACAACATATAAAGTTAATCAAAAATTTCAATTTGTAAATGTAGCTACATCTTAATGAAAATAAATTATTTTGTATAATTACCATCAATTTGATATATGTACATGTATGTAAGGACAACAAGTTGTTGCACTTGAATATATATAATATTAATTTTTTAGCAAAATATATAAAGGAGAACAACTGTAATCATGGCAAGTTTTGATACATTAAGTCTGACACAGTGGACATGGACACCAAATTACTAAAAAAAACTTTAAACTGCACATTTTTTAACAGTAAGTGTGGTACATGTAAAATGTACATGTAGGTGTACAATATATTTGTTACATGTATCTAAGACTATTAAATTCATCCATGCTGGTGTTTACTGAACCCTTCTGTAGAAAGCTGGTATGCTTCATTACTTACATGGACATGTACATGCAACATGATATAACAAAAATACTGCACAAGAAATTTTTGGCAACGACGATTTTTAAAGTAGGCAACATTAATGGCAGAATATGATGTTATTTAAAAAGTTATTCAAGTATCAATGATCCATAATGCTGGGACTCGTCACTGAAAGCCAAGACATAATCTTGAAAATGTATTTTGGACAGACAAATTACAAACAAATTTCAAGAACTCTGCAATCCTCAAGTAACATCCTTTCATGTTACTTCTGATAAAATCTGTTGATGGGTTCATAACCTGATATTATGCATCATGTAATAGCGGATCACCAAATTTAAAGACCATCAGTACATGTGTATTCTCATATCCAAAAATGTATCCAAATGCGACTTTAAATGTACAAACAAAGAAGACTATTACAGTTTACTGAGAAAAAGAACACAGACTTTGAAAAATTAAATTACCCAGATAAAAAACAAAATACCAAAGCAAAAGCTTTAAAAGATAAAGTGGGTAATTATAAATTACAACAGAAACCACTGAAACAGAAAGTACTGACTGGTTACCACTAGTTCAGTCTTCACGCTCAACCACAGGCCCACCAGCCCAGGCTTGTAAAACTCCTGTCGGGCCAGTAAAATTCATCTCCACAGGCATATATAATTTAACTAAAATTTTCTTAAAATTCAGCTTCAGCCTTTAGATTCAAGTCTATTGTGAAGACTGCTAATTAACTGCTCAATCATTACAGCAATCTTCTACTTACAAATGTAAGATATATCCGCTATCCAACAGATTGTCAATGCTCAAAGTAGATTTGGCAATACTAAATGTTCTTTTTGGTTTGATTAGCATGATTAGCTCTTGAATGTTTCTATTAGATTTTGGATTATTGAAATATTATGTCCTTGAGCATTTGTGAAAAGACATTGATTGGTGTAGTAAATATACCCTATTTGTTATCAACAATACAAGTTTTTGGCTAACAGGAAGTAGAACATTGATGGAACTGCAAAACATGTCACACAGTATGGCATAATTAGATGAAGCTTAGTGCCAAGTATCAAGAAGCTACATGTATGACTTGCACAAATGCAGAAAAATATGTGACACAATTGCCTTATGGACAGATGGACACACAGACGCCACAGAGGTAAACCAGTACACCCGTCCTATTTAGAGCATAAGTACTTGGAATGATTATCAGACCAGACTTTAATTGGTTGATTTTGTACATTGATCAAGTATGGACCAAAGTATAGGTCGTTTGTGTGTGTTTAACCTCTTACACAGCAACTTATTGCTCTAAGTGCAGTGGTGGGACGGTACCAAATTATAGATATACACTGACACTGTACATTTACTGTACATGTTACTATAACACTTATACATACTCCATCTTCTAGGTTAACACCCAATCTATGGGTATGAAATATCCTGATAACATCTAAGAAGTTGAGTCAACAATCAACAGATGACTGGCTTTTAGAGAACATAAAACAAATGTTTATACTTGAAATAAGCTGTCATGATCAGTAAAAACTGTATAATTACAATGTATCTGTTAAATAACCTTCTATACATCTTACCTAATAACTCAGATTTTTTAGACTTTGACAGTTAGCATTGTTTTTGGTTTTCCTTCATTATCTCACTTCATTTATTATTCCATGACCGATATCTCGGAGATGAGTCACCCACAGAACAACGGTAGGAAGTATCGCGAAATGTCCTTCTGTGTCAATATTATTGGAACTTTACTCGAAGAGATTCAGTTTTCTATACCCTCTGTTGAATAGTCACTCCAATAGTTTCTTAGATAGTTCAAAAAAACTTCATATCTGCGGTATTCTTTTGACAAGTAAAGTCGGTGTTATGGTCAGCCATGTTGATTAGAGTAAAATAGTCCCACCCATTTAAAGATTCATGCGCGTGAGCAAAAATATCGCGGGAAGCTGTATGAAAAGGGGATGCCTCTATCTGCATTTTATTACGAAAAGATGTGATAATAGAAATAGATGTAGGGGCACGTTTGAGAGTGAGAAGACGGGAAAGCGCTAGATGCCAATTTCAATTCATAACGTTACGAAATAAAAAAGTGTGGACACACTTAGATGCCTCTCGGTCTTGATGTCGATTATAAAGTTATAAACCAGAGACACATATATATATATGAGTCTAAAAGATTGTGTAACAATACCGATAAATAGATGGAAAACAAAACACTAAAAAGTGTTGAATATCATCGCACAAAGATGGAAAAACTGAACAGATGATATAAATTATACAATAATTGCAAATATTTCGGCTCAACAAATGGCCTTCCTCAGTGTTAATAGTTTTAACAATACTGATATATAATGTATAAGGTGTAAACATAGATCAATAATAATACAGGTAAGTTTTGGTCGATTGATTTTAATCCAAAATCCTGAATATCATAATATAAACATTAGACTGTAAATTTAATTATTTCTTTCTATTGATTCCATCTGGATGGAGGACACCCAGTGTTTTTATCCAAAACTTCTCCCGATTCTCTCTTTGCCTATTTTGCCATGTACAATCCTGTTCGATCACAAGGATCTTCATGTGATCAAAATCTTTTAAATTGTGATCTGGTAACCTGAAGTGTTGGCTGACAGGAATATACGGTTTTTTTGTGAGGTCACTCCTGTGGCCATTAAGGCGTTTGTGAAATGGCTGCATAGATTCACCAACATATTGGAGACCACATATAGGACACTCAAGAACGTAAATCACGTTTGAGCTTTTGCAGTTGACATTGCAGAAGATCTTGTATGTCTTTTCTGTGGTCTTACTCACAGTAAGTATATATATATCCAACGCAATCATAGGTTTGAACGTTGTTTTCAATTTAGACTTGTTTATATTTTTTCGTTTGGGCTTGTATTATATTTGCCTTCGGGTTTATATGATCCGTTCATCCTATTTTGACTCTTTCAAAATTTAAGAGTCTATCCTAAATTGAGGTAAATTACATGGCCTTCCAAATACTGTTTCGATTCCTAACATCACTGATGAGACATTAATTGTCGAAATCCGGATATGGTGTACAATTTTTTGCACCTCATGTTTGGCGCAAGTTTATTGTTTTCTGTTTGGTAATAAATTAATAATAAGATCTATTTTGTTACATCTTTTGATCCGTTTATTTGGCAATCGCCAATGGCAGTCAGCAGGGTTTAAGAACATCAGTTGTTCGACCTGCTAGTCAAATGCGTTTTGTTAAAATATACTTTTTCACTCATTTGGTCTTTTGGAAAATGTTGTTTGTGCTGTATTTAAATCACTCTACCAAGAAATTTGTTTTGCATGCACACGTATAAAAATTGCGGTTTTTATCCAACGCAATCATAGGTTTGAACGTTGTTTTCAATTTAGACGTGTTTATACTTTTTCGTTTGGGCTTGTATGATATTTGCCTTCCGGTTTATATGATCCGTTCATCCTAATTTGACTACTCATAATTCAAGAGTCTATCCTAAATTGAGGTAAATTACATGGCCTTCCAAATACTGTTTCGATTCCTAACATCACTGATGAGACATTTATTGTCGAAATCCGGATATGGTGTACACAAATCTTTGCACCTTTGTTTGAGGTATACCATCTTTGCCGCAAGTTTATTGTTTTCTGTTTGGTATTAAATTTATAATTAAGATCCATTTATTACACCTTGTGATCCGTTTATTTGGCAATCGCCAATTGCAATCAACAGGGTTTAAGACTGGCAATATTAAATTAATGTTCTCATTTTCTTGCCATTAATTAAAATTTGGAATATTTTCAAAGACTTTTCCCACAAACTCATCTCTAAGTTTTTTTTGTTTTTATTATATAATCTAATATAAAATTAATTTATTATAGTGGACTATTTATATCATCTATTTTTTTTCAAGTTTATGTTCATATGTATTTTTGTAGAAATTTAAAAAGTCTCTTTAAAAAAAGTGATAACAAAAATACCGAACTCCTAGAAAAATGGAAGTCCTTTATGAAATAGCAAAATCAAAATCTCAAACAAATCAAACTGTCATATTCCTGACTTAGTACTGTAACTGGTTTTGTGTCATTTTACTGCTGTAGCCCTGGAGACTGGATACTAAGTTCTATCACGTTTTACATATTTTAAAATATGTTTGGCATATGAAAACCAGGTATAGCAACATTGTTTTTTTCAAGAGAGTAATAACGATTCATCTAAATAATAACAATGGATTTATTTCCGAAGGTAAAACTAAGTAAAATAAACTCTGAACTTTTATTTTCATTTGAGCATTTGATTTTGCCATTTGATTAGGGACTTTCCTTTTTGAATTTTCCTCGGAGTTCAGTATTTTTGTGATTTGACTTTTTGCATTTGTAGCGGATTACCTCCCTATATATGTATATCTGTTCTCACTGCTATTTTTGATCAAGATTTTCTTGTTCCCGGAATATACTTACATATATATATATGTATATATATATATATATATACCTATAAATGCAACAAATCTGCATGTAGCCATCTGTGATACAAATATTCGATAACGGTCATGCAACTTAATCATGATGGCATCCACAAAATTTGCGAAAGGATTATATCAATTTAACTTTACAACAAGGAAGTCTAAGTTCGATGCCTTTCTTGTACACAGTAATCCTTTTCATGGAAATCATGATAAGAAACGCAAGCTCTGTAATAGCGTATTAATTGACATGGACATATATACATGTATACTCCAGTTGCAGACATTCGACTGGGATCTTGATACATATAGAAATGGAAAAGCATCTCTTTTGTCGTAAAGTTATGTTCTCAGCCGACCCTCATTGTTGATTTCTAGATTTAAGTCATGATAATATGGCAGTCTTTAACTGTATCTGTTTTATCCTTTCTTTTCGACTTGATTGGATAGATGTGTTCAAAATACACTAGTCAGTGACTGAGCACTCACCTAACTTTGAATTATCTACTGAGAGGAATCATCTATATCGGAACTATATGAGTTAAAGGATGATACTAACTTTGTGTCTTCCCAAGATCCATGGCCGCTGACCTGCATGTTTGCAGTCTGTCTCATAATATAAAGAAAGAAGTCAACAAGAAGAGAACAGTTCATTCCAATTGGATTTCCGATTGTCGGTTTGAAAAAAAAAGACATCCTCCAGACCTTTCAAAAATATGTTGTCAATAAAAAATAAAGTCGCGCATCTTGATGCCAGTTCACGCGAACTTTATGTTCGAATCATAGAGCAGTTTTTACAGAGATCTTTCAATATACGAAGTCTCTTTTTTCTTTAAGATCATGATTATGGGTTTAAGTCTGAAAAAAGTATTATATTTACCAGTTCTTTGTCCTCTTCTTTGTATGTTGAAAATGTGAAATATTTAAATTTTTTACGGAATATTTGTTTAACCGACTTGATAAAAAATAAAGTTAACCTATACTTCGGAATCAGTTTCAATAGTAAGCTTTCTCAAAATGTACTTTATATTATGTATATATCAATATAGACTATATATTATTGATCATTATTAAAAAAAAATATTTTGTGTTACAAATATATTGAAGCATCTTGCAATTAGCCTTATTCCATCTTTTGTATATAGTCAAAACCAATATTTAGATAGATGTTAATGAAATAGTAATATACGGTATATTACTATTTCATTAACATGTTTTTGTCCTGGATATGCATGTAATAATTGTCACTGGACATAAATCAGTAATCAATCAACCAATTCATTTAATAATACACTATCTATACTAGTATATACTCTGTTTTGTATTGAACCTACAAAAGGCATCTACACAGCTATAAACCGCGAAAAACTATGGTAGTATAAACATTAAGCAGTATATAAGACAAGTTTCTATAACAATAATCTGTATGACGTCATTTCATCAATAGTCGTCACGGATTCAAAGACTTTCCATTTTAAATCAAGTAACTTGAAAAAAAAACGTCTTAAGGCAAGGAGTTCATTTTTATTCTTTGAAATTTATTGCAGAGCATCAATTTGTCGCAAACTTTTTTTATCTGTAACTAATATTTTTAACTAGGGCACATCATCGGGTCTTTTTTATATACATCATGAAAGAATGGGGTGGGGTTGTATAGAACAGCACAAATTTAGAATAAACTGTAAAAGCTATTGTTTTTTTGTTTTGTTTTTCATCATTTTTAATAACGCCGATATTCAATAACGGTGAGTATTCTTAGATCGGTACTATATATGTATTTTGAAATATAAAACCATGCATTGAAAAAGAACGAGGATGTATAAACAATTATTTTATATTAATTAGTATTGTAATTATCATTGTTATTGATAAATGTTATATGAGTATTATAAACCAAATCTTGAATTCTATCCTAATTCTATCCTATTTTGGGGAAATTTCAGAAATTCAAATGTGACGTCACCCTTTTTTTAGCGTTGATCTCTTTGGCTAACTCGGCTGTGATTTTTTATGTGCTGGTTTATGTTGTTTTATGTATCCGTTTTTATTCTGTAGTTAGTCACCACTTCAGTGTTATCATGTATATCTATTATATAGTCATTTTTATAAATTTACTGTTTACAAAAGTATGAATTATTCTAAATACTAAGGATTTTCTTATCCCAGACATATAACCTAAGCCGTATTTGGAACAACTTTTTGGAACTTTTGGTCCTCAATGCTTTTCAACTTTGTACTTGTTTTGGCTTTCGTACTTTTTTTATCTGAGCGTCACTAGTTAGTCTTGTGTGGACGAAACGCGCGTCTTGCGTATTAAATTTTAAACCTGGTACCTTTTGTTAGCTATTATTCGTCTGTTTCTCTGTCCTATATGTTCTTCCATTTATTTGTATTGTAGTCCTGTCATGTAATGTTGTCATTTTAATGTTATATTTAACATTGCCATAAAAGCGGGAGGTTTGGCTAGCCACAAAACCAGGTTCAACCCACCATTTTTTTTCTTAAAATGTCCTGTACCAAGTCAGGAAAATGGCCATTGTTATATTATAGTTCGTTTCTCTGTGTGTTACATTTTGATGTTGTGTTTCTGTTGTGTCGTAGTTCTCCTCTTATATTTGATGTGTTTCCCTCAGTTTTAGTTTGTAACCCGGATTTGTTTTTTTCTCAATCGATTTATGAATTTCGAACAGCGGTATACTGCTGTTGCCTTTATTCATTACTTACTGAACATGAATCACATTACCATGCATATAATTTAGGATGTAATGCAATAGAAAAACAAAGGATATGGGATATCAATACCCATTTCTAATAAGATTATTAAAAGTATAGCCGAACTACCAAACTAAAATAAAAAAAAAATAAGAAACAAAATCTGATTAAAATCATATCATGAAAAAAGCAGATCATGTACTCCAACTTCTATTAACACGACGACTATCCAAAAGTATAGAATGAACACAACTATATCATCAAAAAACGAATAAAAAATTCAAGGCCCGGGGGTGGGGGTGGGGGGGGGGGGTTAAAACTGAGACAGAATAATTATATATACAACTACCAAATATATAGAACTACCAAAATCCTCTCGTAATTTCTTCTTAGTTTCTCATACGAATTATTCTGCACAGGAATTTCGGGAATGGGAACGTTTAAGACTTATTGGTAATAAAACTTGTATTTTCTATGCTTTTTGAAAGAAGAATAAATAGACATGCGGTCACGCTTAAATTGACAATTTGTTCTTTTGAGGCCTTCATCGAAAAAAACTGCAAAGTTATTCATTTATTTATCTGCAAAAATGAAAATTATACTTCATAAATTTTATGCCGGTTTGGCGCACTTTTCTGGATTTACTTTCATGAGGAACGCTCAAAGCCGAATTTTTGAAACCAAGGACGCATTAGCCCCGAAACACGTGAAGCGCTATCAAGAGGGACCTAAAATAATAGCCAAATCCAAAGTAAGGTCAACATTACCTAAGGGAATTGGAACCTTAGTTCCTTAATATTTTATGAACTGTATAAATGGGCAATTTAGTAAAGGTATGTTATAAATCATGACTATACTGAAACACAGAATATACTGAGCTGGTGATACCCTCGCCGGGACTAATAGTCCGCGGCAAGAGTGGTATCTACCCAGTGCTATTGTAACGTGTATTTAAGCGTAACCGTTGATTTATGTCGAGAAAGGCGAGACATAGCGATCCTAGATTCCGTCGTCGGCGTCAACATTTAGGTCCAGTCTGTGCCGGTTAATGTTCTTTTTAGACATCAATAACTTTGTCAAACCTTCATGAAATTTTAAGAAATTTGGACAGAAGTTTGTTTAAGACCAAAAGACAGTCATGATCAGAGCAAAATTTTGATAATATATAAGTTTTCATTTTCTCGTATTTTACTAATAATTGGACTTAGGTTTTTTTTACAGTTAATATTCAGATTTAGTCTGAGGTTAAAGTTTTTCCGTCATCAACAACTTTGTCAAACCTTCATGGAATTTTAGGAAATTTGGACAGAAGCTTGTTTATTACCAAAAGACAGTATCCAGAGTGAAATTTTGAAAATATCTATTTTCATTTTACGGTATTTTACCGATAAATGAACATTTTTTTTGCAGTTGAAAAGTAGATGCAGTCTTGGGTTAAAGTATTTTACACATCAATTACTTTGTCAAACCTTCATAGAATTTAATGAAACTTTGACTAAAGCTTTTTTATGGGGAACGTTTTATTACTGGGCCGATTTTACTGTTACAGAACTACATTTTGCAATGACGTACATTAAAGTAACCTGGGACTATTTTACTTACAACAATATCAATATATTATGTCCCAAAAGTAACATAAATCCTTCATCGGAGTTTGAAAAATCTCTCTTTTCTGTTCGTGTCACAATGGCTACAAAAAAATCTATCCTTTCTTCATTACTTTAAAGTTTGAAGGGTATTTCCTGTTTGGCGGTAAAATGGCGGATGTTGATGTTTTGAAATAATGTTGATCTAGTTTTCCACATTTTTTAAAGCAACAGATCTCAAATAACACGTAGTACGTGTCAGTTACTGTGCAAATTTTATTCATAAATATTATTATATAAATCTATTGATCACACATTAAGACCATTGCAGTTAGAAATGTAAAATCCACAGAAGCCATGTCAGAATGTTATTTGTAACTGTAAAAAAGTACGTTGTATTTCTTAAAGATTTAGTTTTTAAACAACGAAAATGAGAGTGCATATAGCTTCCTGATTTTTTAAGGATCGATCTAAATCACTGTGGGTTTTTAGAAGCAACCACAACCTGGTGTTCTTGAACTTCTTCCACTGGTTTCACTCAAAATTTTACATCATCATCACATGATCCTCCAATTGGTATCTTTTCCTGGAAAATGTCCCAAAGCAAAAGCTTTATGTCACAATGTCATATGACGCGTCAGTGATAGTGTTGGCCTTTAATTACCCCCAAAATTTGAATGTTTCGGGGATCTCCATGACCTGTTTTATGATGGCGCACTGTTAGAAGTAAAACCTAAATCTTTCTGGCAATTTATAAAAAGTAAAAAAACAGAAACATCTGGTGTTTCACCATTAAGAGGAAAGGATGGCTTATTATATAGTGAGCCGAATACACAAGCTAACATCCTAAATGAACAATTTAAAAAGGCTTTTACTACCGAAGATACATCCTCTATGCCAAATAAAGGTACAAGTCCCCACCCCACTATGCCAGACATATTTATTAGTAATAATGGCTTATTAAAGTTACTTAAAAACTTAAATCCACACAAAGCCACTGGCCCTGATAATCTGCCAGCATATTTTTTACATAACTTTGCAGAAGAATTGTCTCCATTTTTGACATTCTTTTTCCAAAAATCTATTGATACTGGTAAAATCCCAACTGATTGGAAGCAGGCTAATGTTGTACCGATATTTAAAAAAGGTGACAAGCATAACGCTATTAATTATAGACCAGTTTCACTAACTGCAATATGTTGCAAAATTCTAGAACACATTATAACAAGCAACATAAGGAAACATCTTACAATTAATAACATATTAAATGATAGTCAACATGGGTTTAGAAGTAAAAGGTCTTGTGAGACCCAACTTATCATCAGTTTACAAGATCTTGCAAAATCATTGGGATATGGTAACCAAATAGATGTTATACTTTTAGATTTTTCCAAAGCTTTCGATAAAGTCCCCCATCAAAGATTAGCCCAGAAATTAAACTTTTATGGTATTAGGAATCAAAATTTAAATTGGATAAATGACTTTTTAGCTGACAGGCAACAGCAGGTACTATTAAATGGTGTTAAATCTTCAAAATTAGCTGTTGATTCTGGTGTCCCTCAGGGAACAGTTTTAGGCCCAACATTATTTTTACTCTTTATTAATGACCTACCCGAACATGTAACTTGCAATGCAAGACTTTTTGCAGATGACTGTTTATTGTACAGAAATGTTAATAATAGTTCTGATGCCAAATTACTTCAAAAAGATTTATCTAGTTTAGTACAATGGGAAGAGGACTGGCAAATGAATTTTAATCCTGAGAAGTGTTATGTTATTCATATTTCTAAAAAAAGTAAACCTTCAACTTTTGATTATATATTACACAATCATGTTTTAGAAGCAGTAAAAGATAGTAAATATTTAGGCGTAACTATAAGCCATGATCTTGATTGGGGAACACATATAAACAATATTACCTGTAAGGCAAATAAAACCTTAGGTTTTCTTCGTAGGAACTTAAAAAACTGCACACGTAAGGTTAAAAACCTTACGTACACATCACTTGTCCGTCCAGTCGTCGAATACTCTTCCCCTGTATGGGATCCGTACAAAAAGCAACACATCACTCAGGTTGAGCAGGTACAGCGTAAGGCAGCCAGGTTTGTCTTCAATGATTATAAAGACAGATCACCTGGAGCAGTTTCAAATTTAATTAAATCATTGGAATGGGAAAATTTAGAAATAAGAAGGAAAAAAGCTAGATTAACTATGCTATATAAAATAAATTGGGGGTTAGTGGAAGTTCCTAAGGACAATTTAACAATATCTGATAGACGTACTAGGGGAAAACATAAATTTAGGCAAATATCAACAAATAAAGATTTCTATAAATTTTCTTTTTATCCTCGCACTATTTCGGACTGGAACTCACTACCTGAAGCAATAGGTATGTCTGACACCCTGGAATCCTTCAAAAGTGGCATATCCACTCTAACATTTGAAGGAGCCACAACAACTTATTAAACTACAAAGCCACTGTACATAATGTATATATGTTATTGTTAATGATTTTTCTTTGTCATATTATTTTTAAATTAAGTCCATATGTACATAGCACACAAGTTCCGGGAAGTTTTACACTCCTACCTAGGAGTCTACTCCCGTATTCGGAAGAAGAAGAAGAAGAAGACTGCCATCGTCAAATGATCCCCTTCATCATTAAATTATCTCCCGCTATCGTCAAATGATCCCCATTATTGTCAAAATTTGTTTTCGTTTCGCTAGCAGCCGCCATTTTTGTTAGCAATTATAGTCAATTGCATGTAATTGCATAACCCTTATTGTATTATAATCCAAAGGGTCCTCCTAATTACAGAACTTCAGAAGCTCTGAGGGATATCCAATTAAAGATCGCTAATCATTTGTACAAGTAGATCGACACACCTGACAGAACACTTGATCAAGATAGACGATTAATTGCATTATTTAATTACGTTTAGCAAATGCTAATGAAAATTAAGATTAAAACATAGGTTTAAATCCAGTTACGAAGATAAAAGTTTAAAAAGTCGAACACATGCTTTTATTTTGACTTACTCAATCAACATCCCCCTTTTTAAACAGGTACAAAATAACCGTAAAACAGAACATAATTTCATGCCAAATAACAAGAGTACAACATTTATCAATAATATTGAATCACTTTACAGGTTTAAAAGTAAATACATGAATATTAACTGCAACTTTATAATCTGAAGAAATTTTTTATCGTAATTATACCCCCGCTTTATAAATGTGGGGGTATACTGTTTTACCTTTGTCTGTTTGTCCATCCCATGAATATTTTTCGTCGCATTTTTCTCTGGAACTACATTACAAGGATTTCTGAAATTTGGTTTCATGGTTTATATGAGTCAGCTATACCGTGTGAAGCGTTTTCAGATTCATCACTCACCAACTTCCTGTTTATCGAACGCTTACATCATTTTACACATGACATCCAAGTAGTTGAAAATTTTCGTTACATTTATCTCAAGAAGTACATTACAAGGATTTCTTAAATTTGGTTTCAGGGTTTATATGAGTCAGCTATACCGTATGATGTGTTTTCAGATTCATCACTCAACAACTTCCTGTTTACCGAAATATTTGCGTGGAGGTATCATCAGTGAGCAGTAGCTCACAGTTTCACTTGTTCTGAATTCATTTCATATATAGTTTACAATCAAATTAAAACATCCGGTTTTCATTCAGAATCAAAAGATGCATGATGCATAGTCTATTACCACGTAATTATCAATGCAACTTCTTGTTGTTGATGCAGCAAATCGTCGATATTGGTTCATGACTTCTGAATTTGACCATGATGAAAAAAAGATATATAAATTACAAGGACTTCAAACTGTGAAACTAATCAGTTGTGAAATTTGAGATTCCCTCAAATCTGAGGGCATTCTTCGGGCTGTACTATATTGTAGAAGACTGCAGTATTTTAGTAATTGGCAGGAAATTAAAATTTTAATATTAAACTAGCATATTTGACATTTCTGAGTATAAAATTATAATAACTTTAAACAATAAACATTATTGTTAACGATAATTCTTTCAAATGAGCTGATTTTTTTTTTGGTTTTCCTTCTCCTTTAAGATGGCCTCATTTTCCTGTTATTCAAAGTTTTTTTTTACTTTTCAGATTGATCACCAAAAGTAGTATGTAGAATAAAAAAGATATTAAAGATGGACGTGGACAAAATAACAATAGAAGACTGCATGTGCAGTATATGCATGTGCATATTTGTAGAACCAGTTACGATGCCATGCACACACACTCTATGTATGCCTTGCTTCAAACAAAATGTAGAGGCAACAAGTTTGACCTGTCCTTTGTGTAGAAAGAGGATATCTACGTGGGCAAGGAAGGCAGCTAGGGAAAAGTGTCTTGTCAATAAGGCTTTATGGGCAAAGATTCAGAGTATGTTTCCCGACAGAGTAGAAAGGAGACTTGAGGGGGAAGATCAAGAAGATGACATGTCTATTGATGGTTTGTTATTGTTTATATATATTACTGAAAAGTTTGTCTGCTCTTGTTGAACATTTATACTGGGTTAAAAATGATAAAATATTTCTAAAACACTTTTTTGATCTGGTAAATAGAAGAACATTTTTCTGTGAAAAATCTGAAATCTGGATATGTAGGTATAGTCTTTTGATTTTGAAAACTTTGCTATTTATACATTTGATTTATGATTATGTCAATAAGTTAAAGTTTTCTTGCTATTTCCACAATACATGATTTATTTTTTTTACTGTGCAAAACAACATTAAAAGAGAGACGAAAGATACCAAAGGGATATTCAAACTCATAAGTCAAAAAACAAACTGATATTTCACTGGTAAAAAAAAACAAAAAACAACTAAAAGACAAACAACAGTATACAAAACACAACAATGAAAACTGAAGACTGAGCAACAAAAACCAGGAGCTCAGGTGCTCAGGAAGGACAAGCAGATCCTGCTCTACATGTGGCACCCATCTTGTTGCTCCTGCAAGTAAAAACCCAGTGATAAGTCACATTCAAGGAAAAAAGGACAGGATTTTGGATTACAATAATTGGAACATATCTGTCGTCCATCACGAAACAGATATTCCATAACGGTTAACCAAATCGTGATGGTTTAAATTGTCTTAAATAACATAGATTACTACATATATTATAAAACTATGAAATTGGATACTTTTGTATCTGCATAAGACTGAAAGTCGAAACTTCTTATTTTGAGATCCTCACGATCAATACCTGTACAGAAATTCTAGAAATGACATATTTGATATGCATACATGTTTATATTGTTAACTTTTTCTGCTTAGCATAGAAAATTATGTTAACTTAGATTCTTCTTCTTTTTCAGTTTTTCATCCTATTATTAACTTGGCAAGGCCTGGAGAGATAAGACAAGAATATGAAGAACAGTTGAAAAGGGTATGTGTGTCATAAGGAATTAATTATACTCCACTCTTACTAGTGCAAAATTAAAGATTTATTATAGACACTCAAATTCCATTACTATTTAGGAAACTAGAGAACATAGAGAGAAAAAACTGTAAATAATTGAAATTGTGAATCAACTCCTTATAGGACTTATTTTTTTTTAAAAGATTTTTTTCTTACTTCTACCTAGAAAACTTTAAAAAAAAAGATGAAGTGAATATCTAATTATATATGTAAACAGTAAAAAAGATAAGCAAGAAAAGAACTGCAGATAAGTCAAACATGACCAAAAAATGTCAATTGACTCCTTATAGGAGTTACTGTCCTAAACTGATGTTTTTTCCCAAATTTTTTAACTTCTTAATGATTATGATGATGGGAGTTATTAACGACCTTGATAGGCTAATTAAAAAAAAAATGAATACAACTTATAATCAAAGCATAACAAGGGGGGAAATTTCAGTACAATATCCCTCCTTAAAAGAAAATTAAATACAAATTAAGGTCTTTCCACATCAATTTTCTAAATAATTGATAGGAAGCTACTTCTGGTTTACTCAAAGTTATTAATAGCGTCAAAGTATAGGTTTCTTCATACTGATTCAATAAATATGTGGTTTCTATATACTTTTTGCCTGAAATAAGGGAGATAATTGCCAACTTCCGGTTTAGAAAATGTCACTTCCGGTCTCATATGATAGCTTTATTCACACTGATTGCAAAAATATATAGTTTGTATATACTTATGCCTGTAATAAGGAAGATAATATGCTACTTCCGGTTTATAAAATGTCACTTCCGGTCTCAAATGATAGGTTAATGTATGATCATTCAAAAAAAATATAGTTTCTAGGTACTTTTCCATGAAATAAGTGCAAAAAATACTACTTCCGGTTCACTCAAGGTCACTTCCGGTTGACTTTTTTCAAGGTCATATGTCAACCAACAGTTTGCAAAAGACCCTATGGCTTTATCATGTACCAAGTTGGAGTAATAATCAATTAACCTTAAATTGAATCATTTCAGGGACAATAACTCCTATAAGATGTCATTGGTTTGTTTCAGACCAAATGTATCATATCTTAATCACAATTAGGCAAATATTTTGCACTAGTTCTTTTATATATATCTTTAAAAGTGACAGAGGAGATAAAAAAACAAGGAAAAGTCAAAATTTAGAATATGACTTTGACCTTGGCCTCAATTTCATTTAAATGAACCAAGGAACTCAAATCAATATACCTTAGGTCTCTATCACTTACCATTCATGCTATACATTTATATATCCCTTATGTCAAATACAGAAGGGGAAATAACTCTCATATGGAGTTTACGTATCGCTTCGGTCAAAATTGGACAAAACATCCTGAGGATATAACGAGCAATTTGGTAAAATAAATTTGTCGCTTTCTTTTATGGTTACGGAGGAGATGCACTCACAAGGAAAACAGTGTTCGGGGAGATAACTCCTACAAAGAAAAGTATTTGGTTAAGCAGGGTCAATTTCATATCATACACGAAACATCTAAGCAACATCTTGCGAAACAAAATTTATACGCAAGAAATAAAAGTGGCGGAAGAAGAAGAAAAAAAAAATAATTATCAGAAAACCAATAGGTCTTTCCACAGAAAAGTGGAAAGACCTAATTACAAGATAACATGAATTACTTCCATTTAAATCTGGAAAATATTTTGAAAATTGAATAATTTCTCATTGCAATAGATTACACTATTACTAAATGTATTTTATTTTTTTTCCATAATATACAAACACATAGTTTAGATAAGGTTTATTGAGGATCAAGCTGTTGACATCTTGTACTGCATATATTAATGAAATAGTTTTTTCCCTACCTTAGTTTGCTTATTTGACATTAAGGATAATTTTCCCGAACCAGCTAATTTCAGATTTATATGACTATTTAGTGAATGGTGATAACTGATACTGTGAAAAAAGAAATCAATATATGCATTTATCATATACTTGTATAAAATATTACTAAAATTTTACAGTTCAATAACATTTAAAAATATTAAAAGGCTATGAAAGGATTATTAGGTTTATTTATCAGATTAATAAGAATTTCCTCAGCGGGCTGATAAAGGAACCTTTATTGACTGCTTCCGGAATGTTATCACATGCCTTTCCGTTAATTTCCGTAACGTTTATCACATGCAACGTCGTGCATTTCCGGAAATTTGTTCGAAAACGACAACACAGTGCGGAAAACCGCAAGTGATTTAAGACTTTCCACAAAATGGTTGAGGAGCAAATTTCAAACTAAGAACATGATAATTGTTGTGACAAGATAAATAAAATGCTTGTAATATCAATAAAAACAATTAAAGTTAAGACATTTGTATTTGGTTGTCTGTAAATTATTATCTAAAATTCATGGAAAGACAAAATTTTAATTAATAGTTCTTGTTTGTATTTCTTCTGTTGAAGTATATGATAAAAAGATAATTACATGTCATTTATCATATCAGACCCTTTATCGGCCCTCGTTCATGATATCAGCCCTAGAGCCAGCGGCTCTTGGTCTATATCATGACCTAGGGCCGATAAGGGTCGGATATGAAAAATGCCATGTAATAATCTATACTTATCAATACTGATCATTGAATATTGACTGACATGCCATATTCATTAATGTGACTGATTTATCTTAATTTTGATAAAAAGTATGATTGAAATAAAAATGAACAATTTAAGTAGTGTGATCTGAACCCATATACATTTTTTGTTTGATAAATACTTCACACTAATTTCTTCGTTTACCTAATAGCAATTTTCTCTCTATCTCCCTTTTAAATACTTTGTATACTTTAGCTTGAGAAAGAACGGGAACTGGAGAGACAAAGAGAACAGGAGGCAAGCGAGGCTTTGATTAGGAAGCTAGAGGAAGAACAGAAAGTCAAGTCTGTTCACCAGCAGCTGATTGAAGAAAGAGATCTGGAATTAGCTAAAGAGTTAGAACATGTAGTCACTGAGGTATTTGTCAAATTTCTTGGAGGTTAAATAAAGTTGTTGCTTTGTCTATATAGATCTGTCTACATGTCCAAAACAAATGGTTGCCATATTAACTTCAATATCTTTTGATGAATCAAGTGAAATTTATATATATCGTATATAGAGGAAAAGGAAAAAAAAACTATTGATTTTTTGGAATAATAAAGGTCAAGGTCACTTACTTAAAAAAGAATATTTAGGCAAAAAAAATTGGTTTCTAGATGATAACTTGAATTTTCTTTGTTGGATAAAAATGAAAGTTATGAAAATGGAAGATATAGTTTAGGGGAAGCGCCTTAAAGATTTTTAGTTCAATACATCAAAATAGACTGAAAGTATAGAAATATGAGGAGAAATTTGTTGTTTCTATTATTTGAGACATTTGTTGGATTATAAAGATCCTGGAATATTTTAGGAAAATTCTACTGATATTGTGGTTAATTATTCAAAGGTCAAGGTCACAATAACAAAATACACAGCTAACTATATATAGAAATTACCCCCATAATCTTGGTTACTAGATATAGCTCTAAGCATATGTATTTGTACACATTTCAAGAACTGTAAACTCAGACATAAATACTACATTTATTTATTGCAAATCTTATTGAACAGTGATAGATCCAATTTGATAACATGTTGTATACAGGGTTAAGATGTATAGAGCACATGATAAATGTAATCTTAACCCTTCAGTGCTCACAAGCGCTTTGATTATGGTATACCTTTACACTAATGCTAGTTCCTATATTTCTTGACTTGCATATCTTTATTGTTATTTATCTTTATCATTTCACAGGCTGGTACAGATAGTCCATTCAATTTACTATTAAAGGAATCCAAGAATCGTTTAACACGCAGTAGAGGTTCATCAGCTGCAAGTTCAAAGCAGAGTCCATTAACCATAGAATCATTTATGCAAAAAATGAGGGATGCAGAGAAAATGAAAGAAGCAGATAGATCTGCTGCTAGGAATACAGACTCACCGTATCCATATACCTGCTATACTCCATCAGACAAAGGCAACCTTTCACGTCCTTCTACAGTGACGATTAGTTCAAGGTCATCAATGCGCTCGTCTACTAGTTGTACAAGTTACAATACAGACCCTGACGTTGAATGGGAACTTGTTACACACAATGAGAATTTAATTGGACAGACTGATCAGTTAGAAAACAAAGATCGGATGAATAATATATCGACTACTGCTGTCCGGAGTGAAAGCAGTCAAAGTTTGGATAGTATAAACCAAGAGTTGAATCATTTCAAACCAATCAAGTCTTGTCCTGTAACTCCTCCAAAGAGATCTGCAAGTGGTAAGATAGTGGAAACACAGGTAATAAGAACTACCCCAAGAAATTTATCAATGGTGGACTCTTTTTCACCCACCACATCAAAAACTATGTCTGACATAGACGCAGGCAGCCCTGTAATGAAAAGACGCTTGTCGGAACTTGAAGAGGAAAGAATGTCTCAAGTGGAGCAAAATTCTAAAGCAACAGAGACTGCATTATGCAATACGGAGGTGAAAAAAAATGACATTTCTAAATATTTTAATAAAAAATCCAAGTCTCCATCTCCTTCAGAGAATATTCCAAATTTTGTGAAGAATGTAGAAAACAATGGTATAATTCTGAAAAAAGTTGTGATACCACTAGAACCTATATTTGACAGTATTGATGACATCAGAGATTTTGATGATGTCATGGCGCCATTAATGGAGATAAATAATATTCAGAAAAGACCTTCTATAAAAGACAAACCATTAAAAGTTAGACAGAGGAATAATTCTAAACAGGAAAATATGAATAATAATTCAGTTTTAAGTCCTCAGAGGTCGATTACGGATTGGTTGTCAAACACAAATTGTGCTCTGAAAAGTTCATTGAATAGTAACAATAATTGTGGCCAGGATATGGAAGTTGATTCTAAAGAGGGTATATTGAACTTAGATATAGCAGGTCATGGTAAAAATAATAAGTTGAAACTAAAAAAATATCCAAAACGTAAGCATGCAGCATATCATATAAGTGATTATGTGTATCCACAACTAAGTCCCAAAAAAAGAAAGATATGCATTGAGTTAAGTAGTGATGAAGAATCGAACAATGGTGAATCGGAGGACGAAAGTATTGATTCGGTTCCTTCTAGTCTGTCTTCAATGAGGTCGACACGATCTCTAAGATCAGAGAGTGGCAGAAGGCATTTAAAGTCTAAAAGACAAAGAGAATCAACAAAATTAAGAGAAAATGGAATGAAAAAACTTAAATCTGTCGGACATTCACGGCATCTAGAGAAACAAGAACACAAAACTATGCATTCATTTCTGCAACCAAAAGTTAAAAATGTTCGGATAAAAACAAGTACACATAGTGCACAAACGGTATGTGATAGTGTATTTAGTGACAGTAATGTAAAGTCTGTTAAACTTACGCAAGAGGAGGCAGATCGTCAACTGGCATTACAGCTTGAAAAAATGTTCAGGTACGAAGAAAAGAATAAATTGACTGCCATAAGAATAAAGGGATCTGATAATGAATATAATTTTAGGAGAAAGTCAAAACATCTATCAGAAGAACTTCTATAGTTGACAGAATGGATAAAACATCTATCAGAAGAACTTTTATAGTTGACAGAATGGATTTTTAGGCTAGAATGTGAAATATGTTTATTTGCCCTTGAACAATTACAAAATATTAATATAACGTGAAAGATACATATAGTGGGGAATTTTACTTCCGATTTCTTGTGTAGAAATGAACATTTCAAAATTGATTTTATAGAGAAGGTTGAAAGAATGTAAACAGACGACTTTTATCCTGTTGTTCATTTAAGTAAACTTTGTTTGTACATGTAATATGGTAGAATATAGAATCTGTATTAAACTTCCTGAATGAATTCAAATTTAGATTCAAATTCTCAAACATTTTAATAAGCCTAGCATTAGCAAATGGATTACTCATAGTCATGTTAAGTGTTCAAGTGTTCAGAAAATGAAACAAAATACAAGTTTTGGTTCAGTAGCAAAGTGTACTTCAGATATGATATATATTTTTTTTAATGTATAATGTTCATAAATCAAGGGAAAACTATTTAAAAAATATGGTACCTAAGTGCTTTTCTTCTGCATGTTCTATATAAAGACACAAAAGATAATTCAATTTATTATAACAGAAATGTCTACAAAACACAGCTGACTGAGCTTATATATTATGTATTCTTTTTTCTTTTTGTGTAAATACATGTATTATCAAAAAGTGAGGAGAAATCGAAAATGTGATATGATTGCCAATTAGACAACTATCCACATGACCAGAGTTTAAATGAAGTAGTAGTAAACAATTAGGCCACGGTACGGCCTTCAATAATGAGAAAAAAACCATACATGTTGTCAGCTATATATAATTTACGAAAAACAAATATGACTATGATGACCGATGCATTATGTAAATTAGGTCATGTTTCATTTTTATCACCCTCAATCAACCTGATATAAACACGAGTGATTTTTCACAGTGAATACTGGGTAAATGTGAGTGATTCACTTAATAGAGATTTTATTTTCTCCCTGTTTTAATGTATACATGTACTCAATAGATGTAATACCATATAGGGTTTATGATTTATTAATTAAGGTGCTAATTTCTTCAAAAGTTAGGATTCATTCGAAAGAGTAATTTGTTTATAACTGAATTACCTTATGTGTTCTGAATGTATTTATGTACATGTATGTCTTAAGCACCTTGTCAGTACAAGATTAAAGGATACAACTAATTAAATGAATTTTTTAACCAAATTTGGTACATTAACAATGGTTCCAAAAGAGGAAAAAAATTCTATTGAAAAATCACATCACGGTCAATTATAATTTGGGGTTGCAAGGGAAGCTTTTTAGCAGCCCTTTTAGAATTAAAAAGAAGAAATATCAAATTATCTTTTAACATTTAAAGAATCTAACGTTAATCTTATTTAGACTAGTGCAGAATATTTCATCAGATTATATCTACACATGGTCCCTTCATTGGATTAAATAACCCACATTTTAAGCGTGCAGCCTTCATCAGCAGATCCAAATAAAACAGAGATACATGTACAAAGTGAGAGTTTTTGTTAAACATTTTTTGTATATCTATAAATACTCCCAATTTCTAGGGGCATTACACTTCCTTGTTAAATAATACTTGTTTATGTGTATAAAGTTTGAATTGGAAAGTTCAGCTGTTAACTGTTTATAAGAAGAATAAAATCACTTATGGTTTATTCCATTCTTCAGATGTATAAGAATCAATATACATTTAGGTACACAAATATGATGAAAAGTTTATGAATAAACTCATCATAGATACCAGTATTGAAATTACATTGTATAGCTTTTTTTCTTTAGAACATACTTGATACATCATTGTTTTATCTATTCTTATAGAGCCTTTTAATGTTAAAGTTTTGATTAGTAAATATAGTAATATCATTTTAAGAATTAAATTGGGAGGAGGCAATTTCTTTTTTATCTTTCCAATTTTAGATGATTATGTTCTGTACTTTTGTATAAAATTTTAAAAAAAATATTGTACTTTGAATTCAGGACTAAATGCAAATTTTGACTGAACAGTTCCAATGTTATAGCTAGGATTTAAAATGAAAGTTCACAAAAAAAACATTTTCAGAGGGACTCAGTTTTGAATTGAAAGGCATGTCTGCACCATTTCTTGTCTGAAAAGGGACAACTTGATAAGTTTTTAAGATAAAAAAAAATGTATTTTTAATGCATTTATAGTACTTGTAGGTTGTATAAAGCTTCACCAGAAGTATTTTTTTTTTTTCTTTTTTTTTGCATTTAAAATTTAATTTTCCTTTACAAAACAAACAAAAATGCAAAAGGCAGCTGTGCCCCGATTTTGGACTAGGTAGGACACTGAGGTCATATCTTATTGTCATGAATATACAGTAGCTTAATTATTTTTACAAGGAGAAACACACAATGTAAAATGATTTTTTAATATTAGTACAGTTTAAATTCTGTATAATAGTTTGTATTATGATTCTATTGATTATTTTAAACAAGGATCTGAAAAAATAAACAATGCATAAAATGCCTAAATTTTTTTTATTATGATTATAAGGAGTTGTTAGGTATATTTATGTCAATAAGACAACATCCCAAGAACATAATACAGATATGTAGATCTACACAAGAACCAAAAACACTTCACATAAAAAGAACTTGTTTAGAGGTCAACATGCATTTTTCTTTTTACCTAATGTCTAGCTCAAAATCAATGTAAATTCAGACAAGTGTTGAAAGAATTGAACACAGCTTACAAATGATTTGCCATCTAAACTAATTTTAAGTAGACAAAGGCACCCAGCAAGCCAGGGGTCCTACATTCTGTATGGGTCGGCATCAACATTTTAGGTTCAGGTTTGTGGTTAAGGTTGTTTTAAACTCAATAACTTTGTCAAACCTTTGTGGAATTTTACAAAACTTTGACAAGCTTTTGTTTGATTAAAGGACCGGATAGTATCCAGAGCAAAATTTTGAAAATATTTTTTTTTCATTTTTTGTCTCGCCTGCGATGAAAGTTGCAGAAAGCGAGTCAAAGGGATTGCTTTTCCCCCAGCTGCGGCGTCGACAATTGTTAAGTTTTCTGCTTAAGTCAGTTCATATCAGTTTGACGACTATTTCGAGGCACTGCCCCTAAGTCATGGACCAGTGACTGAATTTATAAGCAATTTTCAATGTTAAGTTTTCTGCTCAAGTAAGTTTGATAGGAACAACTTGTGATAGATCATTGATATGAAATATAAAGCTGCATTACTATAAGTATATATCAGTTTGACAACTATTTCGAGGCCCTGCCCCCTAGGTAATGGTCCAGCAACTTTCAATGTTAAGTTTTCTGCTTAAGTTAGTTTGATAGGAACATTGATATTTTATATAAAGTTGCATTACTATCAGTACATATCAGTTTGATGACTATTTTGAGGCCCTGCCCCCTAGGTCATTGTCCAGTGACTTTGTATTAATTAGTAATTTTCAATGTTAAGTTTTCTGCTTAAGTCAGTTTGATAAGAACTACTTGTGGCAGATCAATAATATTTTGTATTAACTTGCATTACTATCAGTACATCTCAGCTTGTCGACCATTTCTAGGCTAGGCCCTGCCCACAAGATCATGGTCCAGCGACTTTGAATTAATAATCAATGTTGCTGTCCATCAGATTTTTTTCTGAATTTTATGTGGACAGGCGAGACATATCTCTGTGTCAAGTTTATTCCTTATTTTACTGGTAAAGGGACTTGGTTTTCTGGCAACAATGATGGTAGAGTCTTCAATCCATTGATTAACATGTACTACATTAGACAGTATAAAAATTAGGAGATGAGATATGATTGCCAATGAGAACTATCCACCAAAGTTCAAATAAAGTGGATGTAAGAATTATAGGCAACCATACGGCCTTCAACAATGAGAAAAACCTATACAGTATAGTCAGCTATAAAAGGCCTGACATGAAAAATATGATACAATTCAATTGAGAAAACTAACAGCCTAATTTATAACAAAACAATTTATGTAAAACAAATATGACAGACGAACCAATGACAACCCCTGAACTACAGGCTCCTGACTTGGGACAGGCACATAAAGAATGTGGCGGGGTTAAACATGTTTGTGAGCGCTCAACCCTCCCCTAACCTGGGAAGTGGTGTAACAGCACAACATAAGAACAAACTATAAAAATCAGTGCTTGTTACGAGAGATTTGCAACAGACAGTCCTATAAAAAGATGAGTTATGGCTACAAGTACAGAACTGAGAATGAATTTTGTTGCCTTTAAATGAGAATCAAATTATTTTACATCTATGCATATTCAGGACAGTAACATGTTTATCATATGATTATGTATATACCTTTCTTTGTATCATTTCTTCTTGAACTTATATTTGTGAGTGGATGTCTCCGATATTGTATTGCAGGACTGTTTAATTTTTCTTGTGTGGGAAGCTGCCAGACTTTCCTTAATAGATCGCCTTATCAAGTGACAATACGGTCCTAAACTTAATATCAATGAACTGAACTCTGAACTTTGTGATAATTCACCAAGTTGTGGATGGATTGCTGGAGTGTTAGGGGCTTAATAATGTCCAGTGACAAACATTTCATGCAAATTACGGTACATTTAAGGGCTTATTTCAATTTTTTGTCAATTTCCACGGCCAAATTATTTGGCCGTGGAAATTGACAAAAAATTAAAAACAATATTGTTGATACCATTCTTGATTTCAAATTTCAGGAACATTTGTGATAATAAGAAGAGTATACCCGCTAAGTGTCACAATTATTGGAAAATTCACCATTTTTCTGAATTTACTGTCTTTTCATGGATGTATTTTACTCATGAAGAGCAAAGTTTTGAAATGAAAATAGCAATGTTTTAATGAAGTGAATAGATTTAAAATTAATTCTGTAAATTTGAATACAATTAATTTTTTGGCCAATAATGCCCCAAATTTTAGCTTCCTCTTTGTGATGTTTGCACTCATAGGTTCATGCATCATGAAACATAGGACTAAGTGACCTATTTCAAGTAGCAATTACGACTCCAAAATGTATTGCCTCAAGAGCTACAACTGTTTGCATAGTATCAGAGAAATTCATCTTTGACACAGAGCTTAAGCCATTTATGCATAAAATGTAGGTCACAATGACCTGTATTGTGGGTAGGAAGCTTACAGACTCTAGTAAACATTCTTACCAGGTTATATGACTGTCACACAATATCCAAAGACTTAATCACTTTAAATATTGTTAAACATATTCAAAATCAATGATACATGAAATGTATGTCAGGACAAGAATGCATGTCATGATGTGTTTTCCTGCTAAAATGGAAAACAGGAAGCAAGTGTCTGACAGATCTGAATAGAGCAAACATGTTATAACTCATCACTCTATTAATGCTGCTTACTAAATTGAGATCATTCTGTTCAGTAGTATTAGAGAAATGTGTGATGAGAAAATTAAGTTGATAAAATGTTTGATAGGTCAATCAACAGATTGATTGATTGATATTTGCTTTACCCTGCATCGCTGCAAAAATGCTTCATCACATTGATCAAGATATTAAACATGAGTGCATAGACTGAAATGTCTGGCCTGCTTTACTTATGATTGAATTTATGTTGAAAGTCTAATATGAAGGTTTTACTGCAAGTTTCAGACATTATCAATGGTCTATGAAAATGAGGAAAAGGTCAAATGAAACATTCCAGTCAGACATACATATGCACCTTACAATCATACTGTACTTCAAATATGTATGCCTATTGCTTATAGAATTTGAGAAACAAGACCTTATTATGAAAATTGAACATTGCCCGATGAACCATCAAAATGAGGTCAAGGTCAGATCAATCTTGCCAGACAGACATGTACACCTTTAAATCATTCTATACACCAAAAATAGTTGACCTATTGCTTATAGTATCTAAGAAAGAGACCATTCTTTAAAAACTTCACATTGACCAATAAACCATGAAATGAGGTCAAGGAAAAAAGATACCAGCAAGACATATATCTACACATTACTATCATCCCATACACCAAATATAGTTGACCTACTGCTTATTGTATTTTTAAAACAGAACTTCACACAGAAACTGTCCCAATGTAGAAATGCCTATGCATTTGAATATCAATTCAAAGGGTCACCTTTCGTATGAGGTCAATTTTCTCTGGTCCCATTGTTGACCTTCCCGTACAGGTTAGACTGTATAAATAAAAACAAGAAAATTCAAGTTTTCTAACATTTTAATAAGAATGTTTATTGAACTTTTCATCAATAAATAATAAAGTACAAATACATATAACAATAAGGACCAATTTATAAAGTTATCAAGAAAATAACTTTACAAGAGAAAATGTACACAGAGGAATGTTTTGATCATCACAGCTCTTTAATATGCATCAATAAAAATGACATTTACCATGCAGGAACTGAGTAATATTCAATCTCTGTATTCATTTCTTACAGCAAGAACATAAATAAAAATTTTGATGGAAATAAGCACTATTCTGCTGGCCCATGAACAATCACAAGTGCAGATAAGTTAGGTCAAAATTAACTTGCCCGATCAGTTAGTTTTACCATAGAGAACTTGCCTTGAATTATCACATTTCCATGTTCAGTGAACCACAAAATTGGGGTCACCTAATTTGCAAGTATATTTTTAATTCTTAACATCACAACGAATATGTGAATTAAGTTTCAAGTTCAACAACCTCATGGTAAACTACCTTAACCAAAAACTGAAACCTGATACAGAAAAGGTTTTAAATGGGAAAGGCTAGAAAACTGAATGCACCCTTAGTTTTTTAAGCAGAGGATAATAATTTTAAGGTTTATTTCAGAAAGATCATATATACTTGGCCAGGTGGACATGGAGAAAGTATAACATTTCTAACCCTGCTAATATACCTTGATAGTACTTGTAATGTGAAAGACATACTTGTGAAAAAAGGGGGGACAAGAAAAAAAAAAGACGTGAGGATTTATCAATTTGAGTTTTGCTGAAATACAGGTACTAACAATATGACAAAAATAGAATTCCTACATCTGGCAAAATTATTATTTGAACACAATAGAATATGATTTCTACAGTGGAATTATTTCTTTTTTCTATTAATCTGCTTCAATGTCTTTACTTTTTGCTCAATTTTATATGCTTGACCACAAAAATAAAATTATGTTTTGACAAAAATGCCTTGCCTGCATTATTTCTTTATCAGGTATGACATAGGTCATTCATCAGATAGACATATTCTTTATACAATAAATATGACAAAAGGGAGATGTGGGGCATATGACAGCAACCCAAGGATATTGATGTACACTATGTTCAAGATATAGACTGGCGAGTCTGTCAAAATTCCTGTTCAGTTTTTAGTGACACAAGGATATTCTGTATTCTTGATTTTATATATATAATAGGCCATTTTTTGTCCATTGCTTATTTTTTGCCAATTGTTTTCCATTCTTATTTTATTGCCTGATATTTTCTATTTATTCGGTAAACCCAACCCAGACAATCATGTAAAGGTACTAAGAAATAGACCTAATATCAAAATTCACCATGTTGCACCTAGTATTAATGATCTTCATTTTTGCATGTGTCACTAGAATCTAGCCGAATCAAAAAACTTTGGGCTGACCATTGGAGCAAGTAAATTCAGTTATAGTATGTCTGACCAAAATTAACTTCTAACAAAATATTCCCTTACTGAATATTGTAGACTTGCATGTAATGACCTAATGAAGAATGTCCCATTTTCAAAACCTCCATCTTGACCAACCTGACTGGGACAAATCCTTATAATGGTTGTCTCCCTTTAAGTAATTACTATATCAAATATTTATCATGAATGTGAGACAGATTTTAGTAAAGTTGACCTCTAGATGTCTTTTTTTTTTAATTTTTGTTGTTAGGTTGCTGGCTCATTGACATAAAACCAACATCTCCTTGTATTCATATTTACCAGAAATTTAGTCAAGCATGAATAAAGAGGATACATTAATTTTCGTAGATACAGAAATAATGTATTTTCATGGATACTTGATTTCCTTTATTTAAAAAATTCTGCATACAAGCCTATAGGGATTTTTTTTTATTTTATGTCATTGAACATTTGAATACCAGGTTTAAAATAAGTAACCAACCAATCAAAATTAATCCAGAGTATGTTGTTGAAGTCATGTGATAGTAAATAACAAGATCATCATAAGGGCTATTCCATTAAAATGTAATGTATGTGGGAGGGTAGGAAGGGAAGTTTAATTATTGAATGTGGGTCATGGGTCTTTTTGCAGTATGCGTCTATTACTATTATGCAAAATCATCTAAAAAATGGTTCTTGGTTGTAGGGATATTTTGAAAGTCCCTTCCTACCCTCCCACATACATTTTAATGGAATAGCCCTAAAAAAATTTAGGTTAAAATTTGAATGTTTCATGCAATATCTCCATTACATAAAATTATATACCTATGTCTCTCCCATATATATTTATTTGCAGATGACTTATTTTGCATTATAATTTTCTTTGAATAGAACAGTAATTTTGTTCATTGCAATATTTTCAATTTCATACTAGTTTTACACATTTTTTTCAGCAAGGACTAAATAATCCCTCTTGTAAACTGTCATCAACACATGAATTTTGAGTCTATTTCATGTAAATTTTGATCGTTCTTATTCAGTTAAGCATCCTATTGGTTGTCAGTGTTTGCATGTTCACACTTACTAACCCTGGCACATTCAGGTACATTCATTCCATTAAAATATTTAATATTACACATTTGTGTGTTTAATAAAGTGAAAAATATAACCTTTTTAACAGTTAAACACATGGAACAGATGTATCAACAAATGAAACCAATCAAAAGCAGTATGTAAACACTATCTCCAATTTTTATTTTTTTTAAACCAAAACTTTCAAGCTTTACAAGAAAGCTGTTCAGGACTCATGTGACGTAATCTCTATGTTTTCAAATTCCACAAAGGAACCAATTTTCTTCACTTAGCTGTGTAAAATTTTATTTCAACTACGGAAATGAATTTGCTTTCCAATGATAAAAGTTGATATTGATATAGAGGCCACTTACTGTCACAACTGTTTTCAAAATAAATCAAAATGGCCAATGCCATTTAGACAATAACAGAAATATGCTTAAAAGAAAAATAGAAGTGTTTCTATAGTAAAACTGATGTGGCAAGAATTGTTACTTGGACTTGTTTATGGTTTTGATCATGACTGAAAGGTGGGGACATTGAGAGAGCATTATGATCATGAGCAACAAAAAGTGGCAAGAGCTGGGTCATGGGCCATTGACCTATTATTTAGACAATCTCTCATTGAGAAAAAAAAGAAATAATAACAAGCACAGCCAATGCAATGACATTGTGTGGATTTCTACCAAATTGTGGTTTTTATTTTGGTACTTGACTTCAGAGACTCTAGTGTATAAAGAGAAGAAACAATAGGAACGAAAAAGAAAGGGACTGTTTTGTAATAAAATTAGCACTGATTTAAAATTCTGTATGACAAACCATACATGAAAGACACTGCCATTTTAAAATCACAATAAAATATCACTTTCTGTTACCTAGGTGAATAAGAATTATTAATAAATGTCCCATTTCTTCTTTTAGAGTCCGATTGCAATAAAGAATTTTCAAACTGTTCAAGCATTCTGATAAGCACTTTCTTTTTAAAACGTCCAGCTTCATGAATAATCTCTTTGAGGAAAGCACATTTGACTTCTGATGGCCCCTGCACAGTACTGAGTTGGGTAAATATATTATCATAATCTGCAAAAAAAGAGACAAAAGATTTAAAATTGGCAATAAATACTGAACTGATTGCACACCATCATTGACATTTTCCTCATTTTCTTTATTTAATTAAACTTATATATCACCCCCAGTTTTTGGTGGGATTCGTGTAGCTGAGTCTTTAGTTTTCTATGTTGTGTTTTGTGTACTGTTTGTCTGTTGGTCTTTTTCTTTTTTACCCATGACGTAGTCAGTTTATTTTTGACTTACGAGCTTGAATGTCCCTTTGGTATCTTTCGCCTCTCTTATATATCATTTCAAATGTTAAATATCAGATATCTTTTTTTGTTTTTGCATCATTTTTGTCTGGTTCAGTTTTAAAAATGGTTGTAATAACTTTCTAATAAAAATTTATAAGGTAACAGACTTAACACAAAGCATTCATAAAAATATGTATCATGTAACCAAAAATGCAGTTATAATAAAAATTATCAGACATATATTCAATTCAATTTTGTTTTGTTTTTTGGTCAGAAAAATGTGGTTGTTTTAAACTTCATTTACTAAAATTTGGTGCAAGTGAATTCCAAAAATTAAACCATATCTGTTGTCAGTTTATTTTCGACTTATGAGTTTGAATGTCCCTTTGTTATCCTTCACCTCTCTTTTACACTTATGTTTTATTTATGCCACATGACATTCATTCAGATGTGAATATAGTCACTATCTATATAAAAATGAGGAGATGTGGTATGATTGCCAATGAGATAACTATCCTCTAGTGACCAGAGGACGAGGATGTAAGCAAGTCATGAATGGCCTTCAACAATGAGCACAACCATAACTGAATGGTAAACTATAAAAGGTTCCTGCATTACAAAATGTGAACCAATTCAAAAGAGAAAACAAGAGGCCCGATACAATTTAGCTGATAAAAGTTTAAGAAGATTTTTCAATAATTTCTTTAAAGGCAGTGATGAATGCCAAAGATATGGCAATAGCACAATAATGTGTCGAGCTAACACAGTGAATACAGCAAAAAATGTCAAAATAATAGAAAATAAAAAATACATGGAAAAAGTTTGAAACTACTTTGATATTGTGATACTTACTTCTTCCTGGCTTTTTAATTTCCTTATAGAGATCATGTCGAAGTTGCGTATTATGCATCCACATTAACGATTCCTTTTTATCATTATGCATGGATTTAACTCTCGGAGAAACTGTCACATCGTTATTATTATGATTTACAGGTTCTATTATATTACCGTTTTCTAAATTGTTTGTCGAATGATCAATATTATTAACTGTCACATTTTTAACATTTTTCTCTTCTTTTTCTGATTCTTCCACAATTAACAACCTATCTTCATCTTCAGTATCACTGTACAAATCTTCTGCAATAAAACAAACATCCACTTTAAAATAATATAAAATCTGGAGTGTGTGAACATAAATTTTTATAAAGACTGATCATTTGAACATTTTTTGCTTTTGTCTATTTGTTTGAATCGGAAGTTTGGTAGCAAGATAACTTAAAAATGATTCTTATGGAATATGAATTTAAAAATGATTGTTCGAAACCCAACAGAAAATATTTTGTGTACTGTGGATTCATTTATTTTCATGGGTACCAATTTTCATTGATTTTTAATTTCATGGGTACCAATTTTCATTGATTTTTAATTTCATGGGTACCAATTTTCATTGATTTTTAATTTCATGGGTACCAATTTTCATTGATTTTTATTTCATGGGTACCAATTTTCATTGATTTTTAATTTCATGGCGATGGCAAAATTTGCATACATCCTATAGAAAATGTGTAACTTGTTGAAAATTTAATCTCATAGTTGGCATATACCCAAGAAACCCGAGAAAATTGTTATCCCACAAATAAAAATGAATCAACAGTATATTCAGGATGACAATTTTTGTTTTAATGACTTAATATGTAATTTTTTTTCTACTTACAACAAATACTTTAAGAAAGGATGTATATTTTTTGGAATTCTCAAAAAACCATTTTTCACATATACAGCATGTGTGCCTCATTTTCTGGCTTTCTGTTTCATACATATCTTCTATTTTATTATAATTTTCATTTACTTGAGAGAATTGCTATTTTGCATAGGTCAATCACTTGTAATCATCACAAAGTATTATTATTGTGTTTTGCTTTGTTTTCATGACATTTAATCTACCTTCGATGATTGATTGATGGTTGCTTAGCATTCAGCGGCAAATATTTCATGAATCTTCAGGACAATAACATGTTAATGTAAATTTTACCCTGCTTGGTACTTCATAAAACCAATTGAGTCAGTTTGTCAAAAAGCTAGTGAAAAATGTAACAGTCCACAGGAAAATATGGTACCCTACCCTAATCCATTACTCAGACTCTGGATCAACTAGTCTTTGCTTTGCTTTGAGAAGACTAGTTTGTTGCAGACTAAAAGCCTTGACCTCAAGCACTCAAAGTGAACATTTGTACAAGAACCAAGAAGCAAACTACCTATAACGAACCAATACCTTATCAATAGGCTCATTACTGGTGGTGTATTATGAAGCATGTCATGCTTTTGACATTTAAATAACATCAATAACTTAGGGTCACATGCTTTTATCTGGCCAAGTATTCTATGAGCATAAGGGATCAAGTTAATGTGTCTAACTTGAAAAGTCACATGACTGCTATTGCCGTGATTGATGTAGGTGGGGTGTCAAACTTACCAATGGTCACATGACTGCTAGTTTCTGATGTAGTATCTGATGCTATTGTCGTGATTGATGTAGGTGGGGTGTCAAACTTACCAATGGTCACATGACTGCTAGTTTCTGATGTAGGATCTGATGCTATTGTCGTGATTGATGTAGGTGGGGTGTCAAACTTACCAATGGTCACATGACTACTAGTTTCTGATGTAGCACATGGGTGATGTAGATGGGGTGTCAAACTTACCAATGGTTACATGACTGCTAGTTTCTGATGTAGCACATGGGTGATGTAGATGGGGTGTCAAACTTACCAATGGTCACATGACTGCTAGTTTCTGATGTAGCACATGGGTGATGTAGATGGGGTGTCAAACTTACCAATGGTCACATGACTGCTAGTTTCTGATGTAGCACATGGGTGATGTAGATGGGGTGTCAAACTTACCAATGGTCACATGACTGCTAGTTTCTGATGAAGTATCTGATGCTATGGACATGGGTGATGTAGGTGGGGTGTCTAATGATGAAAGTGAAGGGGAACGTTGTAATTTAAAATCTCTTGGTAGAGGACCTGAAATAAACAAATATGGTGGGTTAACATTCAGATAAATTTGTAACTACTAAATGTTTTTTCATCAGTTTTTATCTTGATCTTCAGATATTCAAATTATTTTTTTCTTCTAGATTAAAAAACAATTCATAAAACTCCTGAGACAAATGTTTATATGCATATTTAGGATTAGAAAAAAATTAACGATAAATCAAATAGATAACAATTTGTCTATCTTGTTATGAAATATAACAAATGTTAATTCATTCAAATACAAAATAACAGATCATTATTTGAAATCAACCAATGGAAAAACAGAAAATATTAATAATATGATTGTTTATTTTTTTATGCATTTGTATTGAACATTATAATCATGCTTAACTTTTAAACTAATGTATGCCATATATATGTTTTCATTTTTTGTTTTTCAACAATTTTTTGTTTATGCTTTTCTCTGATGAGGGCCTCAGTAGATAAGTTTTATAACTAACTGTGTAATGCTCTTAAATACAGTATTGTTGTTTTTGGTATTTCTGCCAAGTGGGTTAAGCTGGATGAAGGGCAGAAAATTAAGAGTTGTTGAAATAAAAGGGATGTGCAGACAGCTACAAGTAAATGTCATACAGAGAATAACTTAATCAATAAAATTGATCCTTTAATGTGTATTTCCCCTTATTACTCATGATTAACTAAGGTTCTTTACACAAATGTTAAACATTACTTTACATGATAATGAAAAGCACCTGGCTAAGAACACAGACTTGTCAATCATAACAAACAGTAAACCTTATTTGATAATTCGTTACTTTGGCTAGATTAAAACGCAGAAAGCTAAATTACCTGGTTTTCTCTTCCGAGGACCAGGGGAAGAAGGTGGAGATTCATGCTGCCTTTTTCTGGTTGGTGTTTGCTGACCAAAATTTGCCTCATCAGCTTCATCAACCATTTTGAAATTTTCCTGAAGAAAAATAAATATAGATTTATATACTGCAATTCCAATGAAAGAAATTTATTTATAGATATTGTAAAATATTTAGAGCTTGATATGACAAAATTATTTTTGAACACCATTTATAGTGACTTCTGCGAACTAGAACTTACTTTGACTTTAAATGGATTTCCAAATGTATGAAGACGCGCCGGTGCATTTTCAAGTTCTCGTAATGGAGGCGGTTGTTTCTTCAGATAATCCTGGTAATTACCCATTTGTTGTACAGGTATACTATGTGCTTGATCTGAAAATAAAGATATAAGGGTTTCAACATTATAACTGGTTCTCATTTAATACAATCCCAGCATATATAATATAAGGAAATATAACAAGCTAGCTAAATATAGATTCTACCACTGCATCAAGTGTGATACGATATCTATCCACTCAAGGCAGTTAAATTTTCATATTTAAAATTTAACTGTCGAGAGTGGATAAATTTCATATTGCATGATATTTGGTGTAGGAATCTTGTTTCTCTAATGACTTCTAGATGATAAACAGGCAACCTTAATCCATCAATTCGAATGATCTGCAAAAATATGTGTTCTTTCTATGTGACGTCAGCAGGCATGGTCGCCTTTATTCGTGACGTCACAATAGGAAAAAAACAAGAAAATTTGACATCATTAACGAATTCTGACCATTGAAGATCTGAGATCAAATGAACCACACATTGATTAAATAAAATCGTATAAAAACCTAAAGTCCCCTTTTGACTTCGTCGGTAGGGGACTAATAATCAACAGGTCAGGAAAAGGATAAATCAGGTAAGAATTAGAGAAATATATTTAATGGACATCAATAGTCATACCTACACTAATTTTTTAATGTTTACTTTACTGGTACTTTGATTTCAAAACAACTTATTTCAAATATATAATATTTTCCATAATATGAACATTTTTAAAAATAGCAACATATGATTGACATCCCAGTAAAAATTGTTGAATCCTTGTAAAAAATATGAATTGTAGGATTTCTTACCTTCATATACTAATTTAATTGTACTGTAGCACTTCTTACTTTTATCTACTAATTCAGATTTTACTGTATGATTTCTTACCTTCATCTACTAATTTGGTTGTACTGGAGGATTTCTGTAAATAATTTGTTCTCATTCTGGCTATTTGATCTAATAAAGTACTTCTTGGGATGTCATATGGATTTCTGAAGCACAAAAAACAAATAATTAGCCGCTAGAAATGAATAAAAAATCAAATACATTTTTAATCATAAAATTTATTCTCGGAGAGAAGAAATGAACATTGATACCAAGAGTATCCTAGGAAAGGTACAAATTTAACCATATGTTTTATATATATATATATATATATTGTGCAAAATTTATTCTCTGAGAAGGGAAATTAACATTGATACCAAAACAGTATCCTAGAAAGGTACAAATTCAACCATATAGGTTTTTATATATATAGTGCAAAAGTAATTCTCACCTATACATCTGTGGTTTGATATCTTTGTCAGGAATACCAATTGTAAATGTATTGTATTCTGTTAATTCTTGTTTTAAACACTGCATATTGTCACCAAAGTTCTGTAACAACTGGTTGAAATCTTTTCTTTGTAACACAGATGTTTTTGTTCTGAAATAAATACATGATAACATTATTTGTCAGATTACATTTCAAGTGGGTAAAAATTCATTATTATTTTTTCCATATCAAGCTATTTGGAGCTTACTAATATTGGATTTTTGTGCTTTTCTAGAATATAGGTCATTCATTCTTTCTTCACTGTTCAAATATCAATATTATACAAGTTATGCACATCATCAAAGTTGATCCTTGGTTTTTAATGTGGGTTTGTGCTACTCAATCTATATTATTTTGTGTTTTTTTGTCTGTTCATCCATATTTGTTTGGCCATGGTGTTGTTTGTCCTTTTCAGTCTTACCAGTATATATTTGACTGCCCTTGTGTATCTTATTTTCTACTAAAAATTGTCCTGTTTTGTCACTGTATTTTTTGTATATTTAAAGTTATGATTTATAAGCAAACTGTAGGATATGCACTGAAAAAGTTGTAGAAATTAATTAAGTCAAGAGACTGTAATACAGTGTTACTGTTTATCATATTTGTTTTTCCTTTGTTTTGTAGAAAAGTCAGGCTGTTAGTTTTCTCATTTGAATTGTTTTCATTTTATATGTCCGGCCTTTTATGGCTTGCTATGCTGTATGGGTTTGCTCATTGTTGAAGGCTGAACTGAGACCTATAGTTGCCAACATCTAAGTCATTTGGTCTGTGGTGGATAGTTGTCATATTGGCAATCATACCACATCTTCTTATTCTATATGAAACATCCACAATACTTTGCTTAGCCATAAAAAAATAAATAAATAAACACATTGAGAATGGGTAATCAAATATGATAAATTTGTTTCTTCCATACAGACGGACAGTAACTAATAATTACTCAGAAGAAGCAGAAAAAAAATCAAATCAAGGCTAACTATCTTGCAAACTACAGGGAAAATGTATGTGGATATCCATGATTATAATATATGCAACTGTGTTGTGTATAGGAAAACTTTCAGTAGATCTATTTTACTTTTGAATTTTAGCTTGTTAATTCTATTTCATTACTGTTTATATCTATCTAACATTCCAGAGTTGTCTCCCATGTATTTTGTTAAAAGGAAGAAAATTGCATATTTTACATTAGATTTTACTGTAAACCAGGATGTTGTTTTCTATTTATAGTTTGGATTTATGAGATTTCAGGACAACCATAGCATACTTCAGTATCCATCCTGATTATTTTACCACCTTGTAACACCAGAAAGTGTTGGTTCACTCGACTTATATATTAGATATAATGTACATATGTAAATTGCAGAAAGAAACAAGAACTTAATACTATCATTCATACAAAAGACTTTCTAAATGTAAACCATACCTTGGCTCTACTTTGATTCCTTCATTAATCTGCACTTTTTGACCAATGCCTGCAATCAATCTGTCCATTTCCATTTTTGCCTAGAATGTAAAATTAGAATAGAAATTATCTACGTATTTTTCATTTTTGCAGACAGTAAATAAATTTTTTTTCTAAGCCATTGTCCGTAAGAAAGTTCATGCATAGCATTTAAAGCTTGTTGTATAAAATTAGGAAATGACAATTATCTACAACATACCAAAATATGATAAGAAATTAACATTAACAGAAGACCTTAGTCATCAAAGTCATATCATATGAGATATTCAATAAAAAGTCCCACAAATGAAAATGTTTTAACTATTCAAAAGAGTCTATTTACATGTACCTCATATTTCATAAAATCAAAAACATTTTTAAAAAATTCCAAAAGGAAAACTTGCAATAAGCAACTGACTCGGCTTTTTCGTGACATTTCAAACTGAAATGAATGATTGTTTCTGTTCAATCTAACTTCTAACTGAATTTTGAATATAAAAAAAACCTGCGGTCTTTTTCATAAAACTTTTTCCCACTGTTTTTATACTTTAACAAACTTACTTGATTTTTTAACTTCTTGAGGTAAGTTATAACACTGTAACTGAGACTGTTGTCCATATTGTCTGGTACCAAGTTAGGAGCTCCCATTCGTGTCAACGCCCTTCGTAAAGACTGAAAGAAGAGACGAAAAGGATTAATCATGACTTAATTCTTCTGATTGGGAATTATCTTATTTACACCATGATATGGTTTATACAAAATGATAGAAATTAATTATTTCGGAGGGGGTAGTTCAGCAATTCGACCATATTTCATAGTAAAGGATACTGTGGATTCATTTATTTTTTGTGGGCATAAAACTTGCATTTTCGTGATTTTTCCAATCTCTGCATACAAAGCCTATGAAAAATTTGTAATTCATTGAACATTTGAATTCGTGTTTCACTTGTACCCAAGAAACACACAAAAATTGGTATCCAACTCCACAGTATCCAATTACATTTAATGGCATTATGGTGTATACAATTATACAAAACTTTTAATGACTTTGGTTAAGGATAAATTTGAATGCATATCTAATAAAAATTTCTGCAAGAAAAATGCTATATTTCAATAATAAACTGTTATCACAGAGATGTCTCGCCTTTTTGTAATTTTGATAATGCAAATGTTGAAATTAAAATAGCAATACTTTAACATGTAAGTTATGCAAATATTCAAAGTCGATGAACCATGACTGAAGGTACATGGCTAAACAATTTCCATGGAATGAGATGTGCCAATGCTAATACAACTGCATACCAAATACCATTGACTTATTATAAGTTGTTCCCATAAAACAAACCTAAACACAAACAATAACTTGTAAACTATGTAAAAGTTTCAAAGTCAATGAACCATGATCAGGGGTGGGGCTATATAATCTCTAAATCTGCAAATGCAAATATCATTGACTTTACATTAGCAGTTCATCTTAAACTGATCTAATCACAAACTAATACATGTAAACTAAGCAAAAGTTTCAAAGTCAATAGACCATGACTGAGGGGGCGGGGCCAAATATTCTCCATGGAAATGAGATGTGCTAATGCTTATACAACTGAACACCAATTAACATTGGCCTACCACTAATGGTTCCCCTTGAACTGACCTAATCACAAACTAATACATGTTAACTTAGCAAAATTTTGAAAGTCTATAGACCATGATTAAGGGGACGGAGCCAAATAATCTACATGGAAATGAGATATGCCAATGCTTATACAACTGCATACCAAATATCATTGACCTACCACTAGTGGTTCCCCATAAATTGACCTAATCACAAACTAATACATGTAAACTATGAAAAGTTTCAAAGTCAATAGACCTCGACTGAGGGGGCGGGGCCAAATAATCTCCATGGTAATGAGATGTGCCAATGCTAATACAACTGCATACCAAATATCACTGACCTACCACTAGTGGTTCATCATGAACTAGACCTAATCACTAACTAATACATTGTTGAGTCCAACACTGCCGACGCGGGAAACAGCATACCTATGTCTCGCTTTTTGACTCCGTCAAGGTGAGACAAAAATTAGCATCATTTTTTTTTTTTAAGCAAAAGTTGAATTATTTCAAAGAAGGTCTAATTGGACATGCTAATAAGATATATAAAAGATAAGACTGTTTCTATTTACCCCTGCATAATAGCATGGCATAGTTTTGAGGTAGTTGTCAAACTGCTGTCTCCACTTAGGTGAAGGTTTTCCTTTATGCACTTTAAAAAGTTCATCTGAAGAAAAAAACAATAAATACATACACATTATCTAATGTAACTAAAAAAAAAATGCATTCAGTTTCATGATGAACACAATGGCTAAAATAAATAGATGGTGCAATGAAAAACAAGAGTCCTAACATTTTTATACTAACCAATAAACGAACAAAACTGGTTAATATGCTGGAATATATAATTATTAAATGAATATTCACAATTATCTAAAGCAGATCAACTGACTTTGTACTTGCTTCCATTTGACCCTTTTAAATAAAAGTTGATCAGAATGATTTATGCGAAAAATGTCGATGGAAAAAGTGATACGATCTTTTATAATCTTTGCTAAAACCATCAACAGTGTCAATCAAATAGCACTCCTTTCAGATAGATGACTTGTGTTGAGAAGGCTGTACCTACCCTTTTGGAGCACCTGATATCATCCTTGTTTTTATAGTTAATACCAACATGCTAACTTTCATTACTGTCTGCTGTTTACATTTTGGCTAAACAGACACTCATACGTGTTGCAGTTTAAAACGTATTGCAACAATCTAGATGACATCTACCAAAACTGCGGATAGCTTTCACTCTTGTATCTAGATAACAGATGATCCTTAATAAATGGTTTAACTTTTTCTGTTTCTACTTTAAATAATATAAATCTTACCTAACAAGGGCAATAATACAGGATAATTATATGGCATTACAAACAGGTTAACACAGGTCAGAGCACTGCTGGCTTTCAGGTAACCAAAAGGATGACCTGTGTCACTATATTTGGCACTATTGCTGATGTAAACCTACAAAACGAAGAAGCAGCGCCATTAACAGACGAAATTAATAAATTTACAACTCACTAACTGATTTAAAATCAAGAAGCTCTTGTCACAAAAAATTATGTGTAATTTTTAACATGAGCTGAACAAAAGTGTACGATTTTATTGGTAGTGTTATTCCATAATCAAAGTGCCTTTGAGAACTGAAGGGTAAAGATTGCTATCATTTTGCAATCTTTTGAATTTAAAATAAGACATTGAAATTATTAATTTGAGTTGGAGTTATCTTCCTTTGTTCCTGATTGTACATTTGTAGCTGAACCTATTTTTATAAAAGATTCATACGCCATGCATAACTTATTTAAATCTGAATAAAAAAATGTTTTCTTGACAAGTACAGTAATTCAAATACACATCATATTGTAACTTGAATAACTAAGAATAATGGATCATTAATAAATGGCATGACATTGGCTGGATAGGATCTAAAGAATGGTCACTTCACTGCACTATTTAGTTTGAACTTTTAAAGGTAGTGATTAACCTGAAAAGATAAAGATATCAAGTCAGTACCATAAGGGTTTTGATTTTATATAAAATACATGCATAAAACTAATTGTGTGATAAAAGACATACATACCTGCCAACAAACATTTGGCATCCGTCTTTCTAATATAAACTGTGTCAAAGGTGAAGGTTCAAGTTCATATTTATCAAAAGGTAAATTTTCTATAACCATTGGTTCACAAGGGGTACAGTTAAACTTGACTACAGGTTGAGCTGTTCTTGAAGGCTATAAGAAACAAGAAATGAATGTAACAGGATGCTGTTACAAAGTCTCCCAAACGAAGCTCCCATAATTCGTAATTCCCAGGGTCGCCTGACATTGGGCAACTTCCAGTGAAAATTGGTTTGGTCCAGTAAAGTTATATGCATTAGTGATGCCTGGGGACTAACCTTGTATATCATTCAAATCATCTTGGCATGACAAACCAGAATATATATGGTTTAGGGGTGGGGATCTCGACCATTTACAAGATACTAGAACATTGGGGGTGGTGAGGAACCCCTGGGGACTGGCCCTATACGTCATTCAAATGTTCATTACATGACGAACAGGAATATATATGGTTTAGGGGTGGGGATCTCAACCATTTACAAGATATTAGAACTTTCTCAAATGGCAAGGGGTCGGGATGACCCCTGGGGACTAACCCTGTATATCATTCAAACCATCTTAGCATGACAAACCAGAATATATATGGTTTAGGGGTGGGGATCTTGACCACTTACAAGATATTAGAACTTTCTTAAATGGCAGGGGGTGGGGGTGACCCCTGGGGACTAACCCTGTATTTCATATGATGTGCTTTATCATGACAAACCAGAATATATATGGTTTAGGGGTGGGGATCTCTACCATTTACAAGATATTTGAACTTTCTCAAATGGCAGGGGGTCGGGATGACCCCTGGGGACTAACCCTGTATATCATTCAAACCATCTTAGCATGACAAACCAGAATATATATGGTTTAGGGGTGGGGATCTTGACCACTTACAAGATATTAGAACTTTCTAAATGGCAGGGGGTGGGGGTAACCCATGGGGACTAACCCTGTATTTCATATGATGTGCTTTATCATGACAAACCAGAATATATATGGTTTAGGGGTGGGGATCTCGACCATTTACAAGATATTAGAACTTTCTCAAATGGCAGGGGGTCGGGATAACCCCTGGGGACTAACCCTGTATATCATTCAAACCATCTTAGCATGACAAACCAGAATATATATGGTTAAGGGGTGGGGATCTTGACCACTTACAAGATATTAGAACTTTCTTAAATGGCAGGGGGTGGGGGTGACCCCTGGGGACTAACCCTGTATTTCATTTGATGTGCTTTGTCATGACAAACCAGAATATATATGGTTTAGGGGTGGGGATCTCGACCATTTACAAGATATTAGAACTTTCTCAAATGGCAGGAGGTCGGGATAACCCCTGGGGACTAACCCTGTATATCATTCAAACCATCTTAGCATGACAAACCAGAATATATATGGTTTAGGGGTGGGGATCTTGACCACTTAGAAGATATTAGAACTTTCTTAAATGGCAGGGGGTGGGGGTGACCCCTGGGGACTAACCCTGTATTTCATTTGATGTGCTTTGTCATGACAAACCAGAATATATATGGTTTAGGGGTGGGGATCTCGACCATTTACAAGATATTAGAACTTTCTCAAATGGCAGGGGGTCGGGGTGACCCCTGGGGACTAACCCTATATATCATTCAAACCATCTTAGCATAACAAACCAAAATATATATGGTTTAGGGGTGGGGATCTTGACCACTTACAAGGTATTAGAACTTTCTTAAATGGCAGGGGGTGGGGGTGACCCCTGGGGACTAACCCTGTATTTCATTTAATGGGCTTTATCATTTAGAACATTTTCAATTAAAAAGATTGTGTCTATCACAAACGGTTTTCAATTTATAATCATTTGAAAATTTAAAAAAATAAAATCCCATAGGGTTCTATAGTAAAACCCTCTTTTCTTTTTGCCCCTCAAAGTACCCCTTTATAAACCCCATTGCACAAACAAAACCCTGATTGCACCACTAGACATGTTAGTCTAACATATTGTGAAACCCTAAGTTAATCTGACAAGCGGTTTTGGAGAACGGGTGCGGACAAGTTCAAATTTAAAAGCGGCGGAAGAAGAAGAAGAAGAAGAAGAAGAATAATAATAATAAGAACTGAGCAAAAACAATAAGTCTTCCCAAACTTCGTTTGGGAGACTTAATAAAACATACATATTTAATTTAAATTCCTGTAAGAACTTCCAAGAAACTCCCTTTTTTCCAAGTTTTTACTCTTCCTTCTCATACCATCAGTAGTCAAAACCATTCCTCCCAAATTTTTACATATATTTGAGAATGTTAAAACTTGAATATTCATGAAATATCCTTGGTTGCACATTAAACAATGAAAATTAAACATTTCTTCCCAATTCAATCTTTTTTCCTAATTAATATAATAGCATACAAAAGATTAAATACATCAAATAAATTTTACAACAGATATAATAAATAACTCACTGACTGATGTAAAATCAAGTAGCTCTTCTTGCAATAAATTTTACAATCAAAATTGATCCTAAGAATTTTTTATTGTTAGTTTTAATGATATGTTCATGGTCTACAAGTATTTTTTCCTCATTTGATTTTTTGTGAAAACAGGTGCTGTATCATTTAAGAAGAAAACTTAGGGCTGTAACTTGTTAAGCAAATTCTACAAGAATGTGAAACATAGTAGACACAATTTTTCAAGAAAAATGGAAGGTCTTAAATTGGAAATCTTAGTTAATTCTATCAAATTCTATTGAAACAAGCATTCTGAGAGTATTGCATGGCAATACATAGTCCCCTACCGGGTAAAAATTCATTATACTGGAACAAAATGCTAACTTGTTCCATAACTTGTCATGGAGTAAACAAAAAGAAAATATCAAGTCAATATCTTCAAGCATGACTAAAAACAGTGTGGAAAACTGATCATATGAGTGAATTTTTCAAGTCCAAGGACCATAACTCTGCACAAAAGTATCAGACCGAAACAAAAATTTGAACTTGATCTGTAACTTGTCATGATATAACTATATACCAATTATCAATCAATATCTTCAACCATGATGAAAAAAGTGTGAAAAACACTTTAATATTAGATATGATTAATAGTTATCTAAAATAAGATATGATGTAATACAGTGTATATCTATTTTCAAATTGTAATCAAATATAATTAATAGTTCCAAATACTTTTTCTTTCAATTGTCACAAACTAATATATAGATTTGTAACTTATCTATAAAATGATAATATTAATGAAAATAAGATTATTATCTAATTAAAGGATTTCACTTCATAATTTTTTTTTTATATATATAGCATTCAGAAAATTAGTTTATACAAAATAACAAACAAACCTGCAAAAAAAATCTTCAATTTATCAAAGAATGTTTTTAAAAAAATGAGTTATTTCCCTTTGTACAGAAATATGGTTTAACATAGTACTCTATCATTAGATATGGTCCATAACTCTGGACTAAATCATTAGACCAGAACAAAATTCGAACTTGATCTATAACTTGTCATTATAAAACTACATACCAAATATCAAATCAATATCTTTAAGAACGAAGAAAAAAGTATGGAAAACTGATTTGGCGGACTGACGGATGGACAGAGTGCAAACCTAAAGTCCTCTTCGACTTCATTGGTAGGGGACTAAAAAGCTTAATGATACAAATAACACCATATCTTATTAAACAACAATAACAAAAATCTTACTAAAGCAGAACACTGTAGATCAGGCCAGAAAGCCTCAGGTATTGGCCAATGGCCAACTGAATATCCTTTCTGTGCAGATCTGGGTACATATATCAGTCGTCGACAGTTATGCCATGATGTATTGTTTAATAGTGGTGGTTGTTGAGGATTTTGCTGTTGGACTATCTTCTGAACATCATCATCAACAATTACAATTGGTCTGTTGATGTCTTGGTTTTCTACAACAGGGGAAAATATAAAAAAAACATGAAATAGAGAGTTGTGGTATGACAACCATTCAACTGAGACCAAATGTAGCAGTTGTTGGAAACTATATGTTTTTTTTCAAAATTAAATGTTATGCTGAAAAGAAAATGTTTACTTTCACAAAGTCTCATATAAAAGTATGTTTTTAGACCTGCATACAAATCAAAATTATAATGCATGGAAACAACATAATCAATTATCATGTGAAAACATCAATTTTATTTCACAACAGATGTCCAACAGTTTCTTTTTTTTTAAATCTGAATCTATAGTATAACATCAATTGTAATAATTAATATGTGTATACATTATTGTGTGTAATTTTGCATTGATTTAAAGGCAGAAATTGCATCATTATAACAGAAACAAAAGAAATTGCTTTATTTCCCCCCTCATAAAACATCAGTTTTAGTTAAGAGTAAAATTTCTAAAAATGGGAAGAAAAGATTTTATATAAAAAAAAAATTCTTTCATCTCCATTTCATTTTCAAAATATTCAAAATAAATATTTACCTTTTGTTTCATTTTCAATTTCCATTTTACCTACAAAATATATACATATCTTAAAACTGCAGCTAAAAAAATATTAAATAGAATATGTATAATAAATAGCAGGATATTATTGATTACCGACTATCATTGATGCAAAATTGCATACCTAATCATAAAACGTGTAATAGAAAAATCCATATTTCACTATTGATTTTTTTTATGAACAAATTTTCTTATTGTGTAATACACTTGAAACACAAGGAAAACATTTAAATCAGAATAATTCTTTTGTCAGCCATATTCTAGAGTAAAACAAGGAACTAATGTAAGGGAATGACCACAGTTTACTCATATACCGTGGATTCATTATTATTCGATGGATACCAATTTTAGTGATTTTTTGGATAATAGTAAACCAAGAATTTAAATGTTCAACTAAGCATATATTTTCTTTAGGCTTGTATGTTGACTAAGTCTGGTTTATAGAATATTTGCAAAAACTTTGAAATCAAATATCCCTGAAAATTCAGAATTCCTCAATCCACGAAAATTGGCATAAAAAAAATTAATGAATCCACAGTACTCCTTCACCACTGACTTCCAAATTTTTAATTCATGAGGTCAAATTGAAAAAATTTAAAACTTCCATACTTGAAATTTAGCTTTATGACAGAAAATTTTTTTTCAAAATATTGCAGATAACTATTTGAAATGCGTGGATATCACTAGGCTGAATCTTGGGACTTGCCAGTTATGATCCATGACTGGGTAACTCATCAAGTTTTTGAAAATGAACATCTGGACTTACTGATGAAAACCCTGCACTTGTCTCTGTCAACATTGCTAAGGATTTAAATTTGACTTCCTAAAGAATGTTTCAAAACTGAACCAAATATATCAAAAATAAAGTGATGTGGTATGATGAGTGTCAAGGAGAAAATAAAAAAAAAGGACTCCGGTTATATTTCTATTTTTAAGTGTGATCCTTTGGAAACAAGGTTTAAGAAGAATCTGAAAAAACGTGAATGGCCTGACATAAGTATTTATTAATAACTATAAGTTCATACCTTCAGTCATTGGAGCTGGGTCAGGACCAATCTTTTCAAAATTAATTACAACACCGGTTTGAACTTTCTGAACTAAACTTTCAAGTGAAGCATGAAGCATCTTCTGAGTATATATTGCATAGGAACGACCTAAAATAAAATAAACATATTTATTTTGAGGTATCTTTCAATTGTAGCATGAAGCATATTCTGAGTATATATTGTATAGGAACGACCTAAAAAAAAATAAACATAATTATTTTGAGATATAAAAATATTTGTTGCAAATTGTCCCTTTCACAGTTTCAAAGTAAAAACTATTTATGTTCTTCATAAATTTGTCATTAGTGTTGGTTGATAAAAGCTGTAGTCTGTGAAGCTGTCAGATCTGTATAGAGAAATACCTTACAAAATACCAAAATGGATGTTGAAAAGCAAAATGATTGAATTTTCCAACATCCATTGCACATCTTTTTTTTGTAATATTGACGTGTTACTCATATAGTTTTCTATTTTTTAAGTGTTTAACTAACATATTAATAAAGAAGGTTGACAAAAGGCAAAACAAATTTAATCAGACTACAGGAAATGCAGCCAGCTTACAAATAATGTTATTAAAATTTAAAACCCAAGTATTCAGAATAATGAAAGCTATCCTGTTGCAATTTTCACGATTTTCACAACAATAAAAGTCACAAAAATTTCTAAATTTACAGTAGATGGTTGATGTGATATTATTTCCTGAACACAGATTTAGAAAACTATCAACTATATAATTACCTACAAGAATTTCAAAAGCAGGATTGAATTTATACAAGGAAAATACATGCAAAATGCATATGCCAGTCAATCTAAAGTAGAATCTGCTTAAAAATTTGTTTGCAGATTTACATTCAGGATAATGCAGTAGCTCAAAAATCAAAATTCTACCCAAACTAAGTTGCATTTTATATTACATGTCATATTTTCTTATTAAAAAAAAAAAGAAGCTGAAATTCAATCTTTGATTCAAATAAGTTTTCCTACCTCCTGTAACTTCACACATTGCATCTAGTGGATGGTTATCAGCCGATGGAATAAACTGGTTTACATAAGGAGCTTCTACTGGAAAGTTCCCTGGTAATTTTAGTACCAGACCAAATATTCTCTGATCCCATCTGAAAGGTTCTTTGGTAAGTTCTGATCCTGGAACTACTGTGTTCATGGGTAAATTTAACTAAAGTATAAGAAATAACAAATCATTATAAATAATTTGGTTCAAATAAAAAAGCATTTACTAATTTTTTTTTATCAGTTCAGAGTCTGTAACAAGTTTTTGTAATGAATATATTGCATAAAGTTCAACTGGATAATATTTCAATAAAATTTTATTTTTAGTTTTTTTTCCAAATAAGTTGTTTCAGTTCAATTTCTAATCACAGCCTTGATACTGCTTCTATTATTGAGAACTGTTGCCCCAGATACTGAAAGTTACATCCACCTAGTTGTTTGCCCTTTGGCACTAGCATGATTTATAATGTACATAAGTTCTGATAAATTTTTGCACAATAACAAATAAAGTTTCAAACTCCTTCAGGTAAAGCTCTATATGATTTACATGTATACTAGTAGCCCTCCATATATAAAATATTTTTATTATATCAAAAAGTTTAGCTCAGAGCATTCCTTGTAAAGGTTCACAAAATTTTTTTTTTTATATGATTAGCAAGGAAAGTCTGAAGGTAAAATCGGATTTTAATAAATTTGCTTTTGTTCCAATAATACACATACCTCATATTGCACACCCCCGTTTGTGGTCAGTTTTCCTCCATCTGTTATTGTTATAATCACTGCAGGCTCTAAATAATATGGACATCTTCCCTACAACATAATTTTTTTTACATTAATTCAATTACAAGAGACGATAATGTTTTTCTTTGTGTTGTTGGGTGTCTGTCTAATTGATGCAAACCCCATATATCTTTTTATTTATATAATCAATTTTAACAAATATAAACAGGTGTTTCACAAATGTGAACAAAGAAATCATCAATCAATAAATCATATACAAGTGTACTGTTAAAATTTCATGCTTTGTACATGCAAGTATATTTTTCTTGAATTGTTTTTCAAGTTACGTATAATTCTAAGTCTTTTTTACACAAACATCCTAATGTAGGGTTTTCCTCATGATTTTTTCAGGGTATTCACAACCTATTTTAAGGAAGATACCAGCAGACCATTCCAAAATGCCAGGGTTTATTCCAGTCACCTTCTCTCAAAGAGGAAGGTACCTAGTAGCTCTTACCTAGCAAGAAATGCCACCAAACATACGTCCACAACTTTACCTGCTATCTGGGGAAGATTTGCCTACATAAATGTTTGCTATTTCAATTGCTTCATCATACACAGTAAAAAACACATATTATTTTTAATAGTACTAGAAACATGAAATAAACAATATGGAATTATTTCAATTATTATCAAGGAATTTATCTATAAAATACGAGAATGTTTTGGAGTTCCTCAAATTTATGTAAAGTTCCCTTTCTATTTAGGTCTGAAAAACTAGTACATGCATATAAAATGAAATTTCTTACATTCCGCAGCTTTTTTCTTTTCTTTTGAACTGAAAATTATTTTAGTATTACCTGTCCATACGTATCGATTCCAGATTGCATTCTATTGACATTTAACAAGTCAAATCCATGTTTCAGTGATGGCCCCATACTGGTCAGGCCTCCAGCTTTTAAATTCTTCAACTCAGTAATAAATGTGGCATGACTTTCCTTCCAACCAGCCTTAAATAAAACAATATATGTTTAATATGTAAGAATTCTCCTCTTTCTAGAATAAAATATTATAGGATTACAAATTTAAATTTAAGATTAAATGTGGATACTTAGTTAGTCCAAAGAAGACAAGTTAGCTCAGATTCCTTGTCTGTGTTTAGCTTTCTTGCATGGACCTTACAGTGTTATCAGCTCTTTATCATTTGCACATTGTATTAGTTTTTGGGCTTTCAACTTTTTTTTACTTTGAGTATATAAGTCATTTTTTTACAGAGACAAGTGCCTGTGCTGAAAAGACATCAATGGTGGAAATGTACATCTGGTGCAGTGAAATTGGTACTTTTATACAAGATACTTTTCAAAAGAATTTGAAAAGCGAGATAACTTTCAGATTAAAGAATCAATATCTTCAGACACTATCAAATATGCTTGCCCATAGAACCAAACTACATAAAGACAGTCATGACAACATACATTTATGATGTAAAACCAAACTGCGTATTTTTTACTCATGTTGGCTTCAATGGTGTTATAAAAAGTCAAACAATTTTCAATCTATTGGATGTCACAGATCCTGTTGCTTTTCTAATTTTATGTAGTTTAATTGTTATAAATGACACCTTTTTACCTCAAATTTTTTAATAACTTTTTGTTTAACAAATTTAATAACTTAAGATTTATGCTCCAGTGATGTTACTATTTATAATCTTGATATCTTTTGCTTAATAGTTCATTTCTTATTTCAGTTTTTGTTCTTTTCCCTTTAAATCTATTATAAGCTTTAACAAATCAGTAGGTTTACAAATATCAGTGTTTACATTTAAAAAAGATAAGAACTGCACCAACAATTTCAGTTATTTTTCATCCCATTTGTTACCCTTGATATCTAAATTCCTGCATTTCGTCCCATTTTGAACCCCTTGTTTAACTTTGCCTGACAGATTGTTAAATGGTCATTTAATATTAATGTTCAAGTAATGACTGTACCTTTGTCTTTGAGGAGATATATTATAACACTTCTTCGATAGCAAAAAGAGTTAAATGTTTCTTTAAAACTGATAGGAATAAGCCTATTCAATGACAATTAAAAGTTGAGACTTCCTTATAAACCATGTTTACAGTGTATTTACTACATTTACACCAAATACCAAAATAGAAGTAACTTAATCAGCACTTTGGTTAATTACTATATTTTTGGGGTAAAATGTAGACTTTCTGCTTTTGCATACATGTAAATGTGTATTGATTCATTATGCTCTATATGGGCCCTTTCATTAGGAATAAAGACCTTGATTTAATTTTGATTTGATTTATATGTATGAGGGTCTAAATGGGGTTTACAGAATAGATAATAATGGGTCAATACTGCAGAAAAGTGGACCATAAAAATAAAGAAAAAAGAAAAATAGTCGAAATTTATAAAGACTAGAGAACAATGGCTTAAAAAATTAGAGAATGCAGTATTGAGGGATCCCCATGCAGACCCTCAGGTATATAGCATACTTGATTTCTTCTGATAATCATCCTACCTAGATTTGACCTATAAAACATTTTTATCCCCTCTGCATATAAATATTCTTTGTGTTATTACTGTGTCTAAATATAAGAGATGTGAAATAATCAATTTCTGTTAACATACAAAAGTTCAAATTCTATTACCTATTTACAAAAAGAAAAGAAAAGGAAAGAAAGACACCACTGAAGTCATTCAATATTAAAAAAGCCTCTTTAGTCTTTTTAAATAAGATGATTTTGTTAACTGTTTCTCTAATAAACAATTTAACAAAGTTCTTGAAATTGGAATACTGATAAGATTGGGGTGGGGAATTGCTTTTTCAGAAGTGGTCCAGTCTACTTTCCTTTTCAATTCTGCACCTCATGTTGTATATTTAATGACAAAAAGAATGAAATAAATTTATGACCTAAAAACAAAATAGCACACTCAAAATGGCCTACGGCAAGCAAATTTTGTTCATGTCATGCCTGACTGCCCAGTTGATTGGTTCAATGAAGAGTTGTTTGTTATATAAACTATAACCACACAAAAGTAGTACTAAGACAAGGTGACTGGTCAACATAAAAAGTTGCTCAACTGTGCAACCTGATCATGTGTTGACCAAAAGTCAGTTGTTTTTCGAAGGACAGTGAAAGGCTGATTTTCTGGATTTAAATTTTATTTTTTTGGAAGACTAAGGACATATGGTCTATGATTGCCAATTACACAGCTTTCTACCAGAGATCATAGGATGTGGATGTAAGCAACTATATGGTCACCATACAGTCCTCAACAATGAGCAATTCCTTACGGCATTGTAGACTTTAAAAAGGCTCTTGTATGACAAAATTTGAAACAATTCAAATGAAAAAAGCAAAATCCTGATTTCAACTAAAGCAATCAACTTTTGGGTTTCTGTTTCACTATTGTATAGTCCTCACATATCTTAATACATGTCATCCTCACTATTGCATGAGGGTCTGGATGGCTGGGGTTGTCATCATTTCTTTATTCTTTGTTTCATTTTTTTCTTTTATTTGTTTTACTACAAATTATTCTCTATTTTTTTAGCACCTAATTTTTCTCTATTCTGGTTTTATTTATATTATCATACTCTATTTTGTAAACCACATCCAGACCCTCTTGCATATTTCATTTTTTTGTTTGTTTGCACAAACTGAAATGGTCATTTCAAAAACAGTATCTGTATCACCATGGATATGTTCCACTTCACTCATTCCTCTTTTCCTTGTTCATGACATCAGTGAATATCTTCTTGTTATTAGCAACATGACCAGTGCTACTATAGGAGTATGAACTCCTTATCCTTCATCCTAGGCTTACTAATTGGTTTATGTTACTCAATCTTTTTTTCTGTATAAAATGATTTGTGGATGGTTTCAGTTGGTCTTTTCATTAATAAGCTTTCTTTTGGTCTGATAATTTGCAAGGTGTTGTCTGTTTTTCTATGATTTAGGCCAGTTAAGGTTTTCTGATTCCCCCTTGGTATTTCCCCCATTTTTTTCTGCTAAGGTCAACCAATTTGAAGAATATGTAACTTCCAGTGAGTTATACCACAGACATATATACACATGTCTCTGGTTATACACATGGAACATTTAATTCCTACACCAGCATTGCAACTTAAAAACATCATTTACAAAGTCTGTAATGGTCACTGAAGCACATAAATTCTGATCTTTTAATGTCCTGCTACAAATTTCTTAGGTTCAAATGTCATCTTTAAACAATTTGATAAAGTTTGACACTATTTCTTTCAACTGCAGCATATGATTTTAATCAGAAAGTCTTAACTAAAGGTTCATATGACATTGGTAAAAGAAGAAAAATGGTATGGTCCAATAATCAAAATTCAGAAACACTTTAATGCAAATCAAGTAAAGGCTGATTTATAACTGGACAAAATATCCTTTCAAAATCACTGAATGTAGTCTTGTAATTCATAATTGGTGTTATAATTAAAATAAATCAGTAAAGTGGAGGGGAATCTTTATAGTCTCAAATTGATAAACTGTGCAAAAAAAAAAATCGTTACATTTTACTGTTTATTTTGGGTTAAACACAAAAGTTGGCATTATCCCCATTTAGTTCTATAACTATTTATCAACAATACTTTAGGATCTGATCAATATTTTAACAACTTTATCCTGAGTTATCCTTTTTTTTTCGTTTTATACATCTATTGACATTTCTTCAAAAACTTACTTAAGTTGAACTTAAATTATATTTATTTAGGCTATTGTTATTGAATGTGTAAGATTTAGGTCAAAGTGTAAATACATATATCATATATATATATATATATATATTGATTACTCAATATTCCCTTATGTGCCTCAAATTATGCTAATTACTTTGTCTATAGTTTACCCATAATTCTCTACTGGCCCCGTGACTAAGAACCGTTGCCCCAAACCAAATAAGAAACGGAAACCAGGATAATTTTATTCCCAAGGAGAAAATGGCGAATAGTTTGGAATGAGGAACAGAGCCACTGTATTTTGTTCCTTTGAGTCCACATTTCGCATGTCGCGTTATACTTTTGCACAAGCATCGGACAAATCGGCACTTTCGCTTTACTTCTGATCACCATAAACGTCTCTAAACGGGCTTTACCTTGATATTTGCAGGCGGGTCTTCAAATGTGAGGAGCATGTAGCGATCCCATCTGCTGTTCATGTCTCGGGATCTGATCTGAAGGACAAAACAAAAAAAATATAAGTTATGAAAAATAAAGATAATTGCAGTATAACATTACATTTCGTTTGAACACGGAATTTACCTTCATAAATGTCTCAACGGAAGCTTTAGCAATGTCAATCAATGAAGTCCCCAAATAAGTTCTTTGATTCATCGACGAACTCGTATCGACAAGAAATAGTATGATGGTCATTTCAAAGATTTTATATCATAGAAACGACCAGAGATAATGTTGCTAAATGGGTTAGCAACCTAACGGCCGCTATACGCGTCCGTTCCTCACACTATGGCGCACAACACTGAGCTGCTATGAAAGCAGCCAGTACGCCACGAAATTAGTCACGTGGTTTCATTCTCCATTACGTATTCTATTGGATATCACATTCAAGGAGGTTCCCATCAACTGGATTTATTGTGTTTTAACTCTACTATCCTATTCTGATTAAATTGGATCACGTTATTGTACCTGTACTTCCAAAAAAAATTAGTTTATTATGTTTTTTATTAAATACATGCCCCAGTATCTTTTTAAATTAAACGAATTGAGTGTAACTGAGAATCTATTTTTAAGCTCTACTATAAATAGCCATAACAATCGTAAACAAAAGAAAACGTCACACACCCACAAACCAGAGGTCCAACGTTGCCCATATGAGAACTATATTTGGTTGTCTTAAAATGAAAACATAGGTTCCCGGGCCTAAGTCACAGGTTTTCAAAAATAGATGCTTAATTATTTAAAACAAACGGGCCAATTCTTATATGAAATTTTAAATATAAAAAAAAATCATATTTTAAATCCTTACGATAATCAAGAATTTGTATTAGCTTTCGTTGGCAACGTATTTGCTTTAATATTTAGAAGGAATGTGTTGATAGCACAAGCGCTTAGAGATGGACCCCGTTTCCTTTGTATTTCCTTTTAAATTTTGGTGTAAAATATTTTTTACTGAATTCTCTTCTATATTTCAAATTACTTTCACTTATGGGTTCTTATTTTTATCAAAAAATCTTAGATTAAATGAAGTTTGGCTATACCCGTAGGAAACTTATCACATGCAAGTTTTACGGGGATGTTGTTAATTTATGTACACTCCATGTAACCATATCGATCCTTTGAATAAATTTATTCTAAAAGGTTTTCAATTTAACACTGTATTAAGATCTTTGAGTAGTTTTTACCGGTACTGCTAACATTTATTTTGTTATTAATAAATTAAACCCAAATGGATATGTATTCTTTGAGCACATACGGTCGATACAACATATATTTTAGCATTGCACACGGTCATGTTTTTCTCAGAATGTTTATGACGTTCTTTACACTATAAATCCATTGCATGTGTACTAGCTGATTGATGTTTTAGTTCGTGAGAGCACAACCCTCTTCCAACCTAGGACAGTGGTGTGTCAACAAAACATAATAACAAACTGTCCAAATCAGGTAGAAATGGCTTGAGTCATCAGATCGGTAAAAATATTAACAAAAATAATATGAAGATGAGGGGGTGGAAAGGGGGGTACCTTTCTCCTTTCTCCCGCCCCCTCTCTCCTTTCTCCCGCCCCTCTGCTTCCATCTCCCACCTTAACAACCGTCTTTTTTCAGATCAATCGATTTTAATACAAATTTGAATTAATATATGACCATATATAAGTGGCATAGGTCTTTATTAAAGCATATACTGATTTTACGAACAAGGCCTGCCTCCGACTCGTACGCAATTTAATACACAATGTTGGAATGTTGTCAATGGTGCATTGTGCATGCCCCAATGTCAAGAAACTCATTTTTGATATGTATGGTCATGTATGAGGATCATGAAATTAGACATAGTTTTTTTATTGTGTCATCTCTATTTTTCCCTGTCCTCGAGAACACCTTACTTTGTATGGTCAAGTGGATAACGTAAATATATTAAGGTGACCTGGAAAATGCGTTAAGTACATGTAATATTGTTTACAGGAGGGAGTGTATCTCTCTGACATTGTCAGCATCCCTTCTTTTTAAATTTGTAGAAGATCGCCAAATACTTAGAGGAAACAGATACCCCGGGCACATGTGAAGGCATAAGACAAGAAAACTAATGAACCTGTGTACATATATCTGGCCTTAAATATTCGTCTAAGTTTTGCTATAAAATATAATATAATATGTACAGAATTAATAGAAATCCATCAAGTGTCTTGGTTTTTTAACAGTTCTCCCACGTCTCGTCCTTTCACAGCTCAGTACAGTCAGTACAATTTCCTCTTCCTCAAACGTCTCGCTAACTTTTTCATTGATCGTCATTGTATCAGTCTGAAGAGAGCTGGTCAGCCTATTTGTAAATCTCCTCATCTAATGTATATACAACCTGACCAGGTAGCAAAGGGGGTATTACACTTTCTAATATACAATTAAGTGGTATATCTCTTTGCATGTCTTTATGAAATTCAAGGCCATCATTCTCTTTATACAGAATCGCTTTGCACACTTTGTCAGTTTCAAAAACACGTTCAGTGAGACTTCCGAGAGACAACTGGTCATCCAACATGACCGCCACCAAATCATTTTCATCATAAATAGAGTCTAACACTGGTCCGGCGGGTTCATTTGAACTTTGCATTTGATCAATTGTGCGTGGTTCTGTAAGTGACGGGTCTTCAGCTGTTTCGTTGATTCTAATGTCGGTAACAGACAGATCTATCGATGCATATGTAGGTGGGATATTGTTTTGGTACATGTTGAGAGGCAGCGTACCTGCATTTAACTTCGTTGTATCGGCTCTTACGCTTCGCTGTCGTACTCCTTTTCCATATCTCTCCCTAAATGCAAACAATAGTTTCACGTCTTCTTTAGAGACACTGGACGGCTTGTCACGTTGAAACTTTGGAAACTGTTCAAGGGATAGATACTGTCTTGGACTCTCATACCCTGACGTTTTCTTTGATGTGAAATAATGATATCCACAAAGCGATACTCTCTTAACACACTCAACGACACCTCTGAGAAAATCCCTTGCACAGTCAAGAACTGACGGTGTTTCTGTTTTTAACCGCAACATACTGTGCAATTGTTCATTAACTAACGTAAGAGCTGAATTAATATCAACTTTCTCCAAGTATTTTGATTCTATACCAGTAATTTGCTCGGAAAGAGACTCCAACATTGTTCGAAGCATATGAACTGACTGTATTGTTTTAGAGGCTGGTACGCCATGAGGTCCTTGCAAGCAGTTAATTTTCAAATGTAAAAGTGTCTTGGCTTCAGATGTGCAGTTTTCAAAGAAACTTTCAACGTCTTTCAACTTAGAAATTGACGTCCTGATATCGCTATGACCACTTCCCAATATTTCGGTATGCACAGAAAATGACTTGTAAATATCACGGAGTACAGACAGATATTTGTGCATTGGTGACAAAGACGTTACAAGTCTGATATTTTTCGATCCAGAGTCTATAACAAACAGACTGTTGCCTTCAGTACATATTCCTGATGGTTGTGAAAATTGGCAATCTTTACCAAGACCATCCTCATTTCCTTCCTCTCCTTTCCCAGCGAACAAAACAACATCAGGTTGGTTAAGTGATACATTTTCAATGTCTTTGATCTTGTATAATGCTCTTTTCCCAACGTCAGAGTATATTAATTCAGTTCCAACTATGGCAATTCCATGTGGTTGGTTGCAGATTTCGGTACCAGTTTTCAGAATCACAGAGACTGTGTTTGAATCCAATTCTAGGCGCAGAATACCAGCTGTATGATCGGCTAAGTACAGATAGTTTGAACAGTAGGCTAATCCAAAACATCCACTCATATCTGATTTTCGTTTTTTTACCTCTTTATTTTTTTTCAACATTAAAGTTCATCTCCCTTTGATAGTTCTCCCGCCCCCTCTCTCCTTTCTCCCGCCCCCTTTCTCCCGCCCCCTTTCTCCCGGTCTCCCAATACCCTTTCCACCTACTCGAAGATAAAAGACACGACGAACCAATCAAAGAGAAATCGCAGTTATAAAAGGCTAGTTCAAAGTCAATTACAAATAATAACTAAATAACGTTCCCCCAGATTAAGCATAAAGCAAAACACACAGATCTAACTGATTTAGTGAAAAGACGTCAAAACAGTCTGGGAAAAGCATGGCCTCGGACCATAATTTTCATAAATGTATAGCAATATAACAGTATAGTTATGTTTAAATTTATCAAAAACAAAATCAATGTTAGTACCAATAAAACAATATCCAAAGATCCTACTACAGCGTAAGATTGATATCCTTCAAGAATAAGTTTAATGAAAAGAGAGGCAAAAGATATCAAAGGGACATTCAAACACAAAAAGAAAAAAGAAAACTGACAACGCCATGGCAAAAAAAAAAAAAAAGATAAAAAAAAACAAACAACAGTATACAAAACACAACTTAGAAAATTACAGACCGAGCAACACGAACCCCACTAAAAATCAGTGGTGATATCAAGTGCAAGGATCAATGAGTGTACATAGATCGTATCTAAATTTACGGGCTTTATAAACGACATTATCGTAAAAATTAGGATGTGATATCCGGTATTTAATACGAATTCAAACAGCCAAACTTCCATACCAAACATGTGCATGTATCTATGAAAGAATGCCAACATATTTCTCAAGTGCAAACCTCAATTTAATTTTCTACTGGCTGCATATATAGCACTTGAGTTAGTTCGCCGATTCTGTGGGTATGCACCAATCTAGACAAGAGAAGTGCAGAGTAAAACATCAAAATCGATAATCAAAATTGATTTATATACATTAAAAAACTTTTGAATTGATTGAATGCATGTTTTACCGACTGCGTGTAATTCTTATCGGGAATACACGAAGAAGACCGCACATACTCATGTGACGACCTGACCTAGCTTTCCAAAAAAAATGTAGTGAAATAGTAATATTTTAATTTTAACGGATTATCATTTTTTTAATATTGACCTGTTTGTTAATCGTTATATACGCTCGTAATTATCAAGGGTAGTAATGTCATCATATTATCGAGGAGCGTTTAGTACAGTGATTTTGTCATGATTTTGGTCCAGTCGGTCATGATTTGGTTCAGTGTTTCTGAAGTGAAAAACAATGATAAAATGTAAACATTGGATTTTTTCCTAAAAGCCTTGTAAGTTGCTTTGTTTATAGCTATTATGTTTGCAAATGCTAATTTTCAAATTCTAATTACATCAGTTATACTGTAGAACATATAACGCTTGCTTACGACAATTTTAAAAGTCGAGTTATTGTTTTTCAAAAATTAAAAAATGATCTTTTTCAGCGTGTAACCACACATTATTTGTTATAATTTACAATTCCTTTCATTTATTCTAAATATTATT